CCTTTGATTTTTTCATGGACTGATTGTGTCATTTTTTTATCACCTCTGTCAAAGGTGGAATTCTCTCTTGGTGGGAAACTTTCAAAACGAAAATGTTTTCATGAATACAATTAATGAATAAAACCTTTGTCAGTTGTTCATTGTGTTGTAGTAGAGTTTTACGTCATTTGTAAACATATTACATCCATTGTGCGAAACAAACGAAAGAATTTAACGTATCGGCGTCAACTAAAAATCCTTCTCCACCAGTCATTTGGACATCGCCAGAGCGCTGGCACTTGTCCTTGGACGATGACCAGAGCAGCCAACAGAACCACACAGAGCACAGCTTCCATCTTCTCAGGACACTCTTCACTCGGGCAGAATGCTTAACGATAAACACATATCAGTACTGTGGAGGAATTAGGCCACATACAATTACTGGTCACTAATTGGAAAGTCTGGATGTCTAATCATGAGGGTCATATATAGGACATGAGATTCAATTTTCTGTTCACTAGAACTCCCTACAGCCCCCTTTCTACACAGGCTGCTGTTACAAACAGGCAGTTTCTGATGAACCGATACAGCACAGCATCTGCTTTATGGTGAATTAGCAACAGTTGGAGTCAACTTAAGGTGGCATCTAAACAGGCAAGGATTGCAAGAAACGAACGTTAATGCATTAGTCTTCCACTGGCCCCTGTTTCAGAACGTCGTCTCTAGTCGTAGGACCTACTCTTTAGATACAAGTACTATGTTATTTCGTTGTTGGCGTAATCATTGCGAGATTACATAGGATGGACTTCCGATAACTTATATAAAACTACATGTCAACGGCTGTGTATATCATTCTCAAACAGCCAGTCACTTAGGTTTCTAGATGTGCCGTGTTAACAACGTAGTGTTCCACATTATATCCGGCTATAGTTGAGATAAATGAACATTAAAGAATATTATTATTGTCTATAATACAACTAAACTCACACCGACTGAACCTCAAATGTTCCGACCATGGCGTCATTGGTTCCACGCATCCCGATGACCAGTTTCATCAACTACAGCAGTTGCCATCATCATCCCCGATTCATCCGATGTGTTCATTGATGTCACCTTATTAGCTGTGCCACCCAACACGACCCTTGAACCCTCGGCTCAAGATATGATGACAGTTGAAGAGAACTTTTCGTTCGTTTCTTGTTTGTATGTTCAAGTAAACGGTCGAGTCTAGACCACACAAACCGATGACTGATATTATGAGCAGCAATCTTCGCCGCCGGGGCGAGCCCGACCACCAGATTCATGAAGCCACCACGTACGACAAGCATAGCTTACTGAGAATTAGTCACTCAAACCTGGAAATTCCACGAATACTAGGAAGCTGCTGCCGTTGTTAAAACATGGCTGACCGTGGCGTAAAATAGCATTCACTCGCTCACTTTAGACATTCCTGTCTCACCCAGGGCAACATTCTTCTGGCATTGGACGGAAATAGGCACCAGTTCGCCGAGTGGAGTCCCCCTTTAAGTTAAACATATTTATGCCTGATGTGGCCTGCCATGGGTACGGACGCTGACATTTGATACTAAGTATACATTTCAACACCTGGTGATAAGACACGCCAAAGTTGACCTGTATGTTGGATACGAAAGTTAATAGTATGACAATGTTTCATAAAAGACAATAAATGACACAAGCATGGTTATTAAATAAATTTTCTACCACAATGGAGACAATAAAATGCTTTATTAATAAATCGTAATTCTGTTGTCATAAGTCTATTAGATCAATTTAATGATTCATTTAAGATTGACAAGACTCACGGATCTATTTAGTTTCATTACGGACCCGTGAAGATCCGGGGTTTGTGTACACTGATGTATGTGGTTAGTAACTGGCTAATTTGTCCTTTAATTACGAGTTGCGACTATTCTGGTACACGCCGTAGAACACACAAATACCCAATATTGGTTTTAAGACATGGACGTCCAAAGCTTGGTATTATTTCAATATATTTATATTGTATTTCACGTCCATACTTTGTTAAAACAGTGACCACATATCAACATGTATAAGACGACCATTACCTGTGTATGCATCAAAACGGTTGCCCGCGAAGATCCGGGGTAGAATAGGTCTTCAGCAACCCATGCTTGCCGTAAAAGGCGACTATACTTGTCGTAAGAGGCGCCTAACGGGATCGGGTGGTCAGGCTCGCTGACTTGGTTGATGCATGTCATCCTATCACCATTGCGTGGATCGATGCTCATGATGTCAATCACTGGATTGTCTGGTCCAGACTCGATTATTTACAGACCGCCATCATATAGCTTGAATATTGCTGAGTGTGGCGTTAAATAACAAACAAACAAACAAACAAAAGTTTCAATACAGGTGACATTTAAATTAGGTAGTGGGAGACAGGAGCCATTGCTAGATACCGCCCAGATCGTAGTTCATCTCCATCGTCGTTGCTGGTACTCAACTCACCCCTCCATGTTGTTTCTTACATTGAAGGGGCGGTCGGGTAGCCTAGTGGTTAAAGCGTTCGATCGTCACGCCGAAGACCCGGGTTCGATTCCCGACATGGGTACAATGTGTGAAGCCCATTTCTGGTGTCCCCCGCCGTGATATTGCTGGAATATTGCTAAAAGCGGCGTAAAACCATACTCACTCACTCACTCACTTACATTGAAGGTTGGTTTCTGTTGTCAGTAGAGTTATTCATGGGCGTTAACTTTACATTCCACAGTTTCTAGAATAAGCAATACGACTTTAATATCTCGACAGCAGTGTGAGGGGGAGTTCAGGAGTCTAGTGGCCCCTTAGACCACGAAACCGAATTTTCTAAGCTGGGTAACGCTTGTCGCATCTTCCCGACGCAAGAGAGTTAACTGACTGTAAAAGTCCAGTTTCCACCCTTGCCGAACTAGACTGGTATTATGGAGTTACATTTTGGCTGGACTAACGAGTCTATGCATAGTCCAATCAAAATCGCGCAACGAAATCGAAATTCGGTTCGTTAACTGTCATGCAGATTTCGGTCGATTGTAGGATTTGCAAACCATGTGCACCGCCAACTCGCTGTCAACAGATATTTGCCAAATCTTTTCATGCTTTTAATCAAGGTGCTCACGTGATTTGATGCACTTTGCGATGTAAGTGTCACAATATAGATCTCGATTATCGATCTGATCTTCTTGACAGGGCGTCGCCATTTTGTTTGAAGCAAATGCAAGTTATACGAGAGGTGGAATCTGATTGGTCCATAGGAGAGGCGTCGAAGGCACATAACTTGTAATAGCCACTGGTGGCGCTACATCGAGCCCAGGAATTCCAGCATAGTTCGGCCAGGGCGGAAACTGGACTTTTGAAGTCAGGTAACGCTCATGCCTCGGGAAGATGCTCTTGCCGTAGATGTCGTAACTTTAGACGTAAGTTAATCAATGTGTCAACGATCTAACCGATATGTGGAAGCCAAGATCCGATTTTATTATATGGTTCTGAAGTATGGGTATTTCAGCGTTATGACTGTTAAGCGAAGGTTCTCTTATTAACATGTAGAAAGCTGCTTTGTGCCGGATCCTCTACACCAAATAATATGGCTTATGGTGATTGTGTAGATACAAATAAAAAAATAAGATACTGGTTTAGCGTCTCCCTAAATTAGCTTATAACATGAAGATTATCAGATATTGTTCGATCCAATATGCATAACTTTATTGATATGCCGTACAAAATGTTATTGCACATATTTGATGTCAATGTTTTGCCAGTTTTAATGTATGGTACTGAAGTTTGGGGCTTTCATCGGTCACCAGTTGTATCACGTGTCATGACAATTTCTGAAACAATATTTTGCCCTTGGGTAGAGCTACACCTAATATAGTAGCTAGAGGTGAGTTGTGGCGTTTCTCTCATCTGATCCATCGGTTTGTCAGGGTAATTAAGTATTAGGTAAGGATAAGGAAGATAATTTATGGATGTATGGATTACAAAAGTAATAAGATAACAAAAGGTGGAAACTTAACAAGGGAAGCCAAGAGATGATTGGTGCCGATAGGTGATTAGCAATAGACAATGGAAGCCAACAGATGACTGGCGCCGATAGGTGATTAGCAATAGACAATGGAAGCCAACAGATGATTGGCGCCGATAGGTGATTAGCAATAGACAATGGAAGCCAACAGATGATTGGCGCCGATAGGTGATTAGCATTAGACAATGGAAGCCAACAGATGATTGGCGCCGATAGGTGATTAGCGATAGACAATGGAAGCCAACAGATGATTGGCGCCGATAGGTGATTAGCAATAGACAATGGAAGCCAACACTTTTGCTTATCACAAATGATCAAATGGTTCTAGTTCACCACTGTATTTAGTCTGTACAAAAAGGGGCGTGGCCTACAAGTACTGAAAAATAAAGTAAAGTAAAGTTCACCACTAGACTGATCTGTTTAGCAAATTTCATCCAGAAATAGTCAACGGTTTAGGAGTTCTGGCCCGGAAACAATCACTACCCTCATTTTCACTAAAGTCCAACTTGTCGCCATGAAACATTAACAAAATAAAATGAAAATCCCAAATTATCAAAAGACACAAGCTCCCCACTAGACTGGTCTGTATGACAAGTTTTTTCTGGAAATATTCAGCAGTTTTAGAGTTCTGCTACGGAAACGAGCACTACCCTCATTTTCAGTATAAGCCCAGCTTGTAGTCATGAAAACAATATTTTTTTTAATAATCCCAAATCATGAAAAGGACCAATTCACCACGAGACTGATGTGAATAGCAAGTTTCAATAAGAAATTTTTGACGGTTTTGGAGTTCTTCTCCGGGGGAATAAAACGTGTCACATATTTCGTCTATATATTATACTACTGTGATTGTATTGCGCATCTTTTGAAGATACTGTCACGTGCATTGTATACGAGCCGGTGGCCCCCTTACGGAAATACACACTTTCTCATCCATTGTGTATTTTTGTTCTAATTAGTATGAAAAAGAAAAACGTTGGTCTGAAAGTAGTTCAATCAGAAACTTATTTATTTATTCACATACAATAAGTATTTCATCTTCGAATACAATATGCAAAAATATCAGATCACTTGCATTAGAAACATGTAAAGGAATGTTGTTTTTTGTTACTGTTTGGTTTTGAAAAGTGATAAATGTCTATCATATGTTGGACTCCTTAGAAAGCTGTACTGTGCCTGTTTGGAATGTGATCCAGCTTCTGCACCTCGAGCTGTTTGATGATGGTCTTACATCAAGAGGAACTATTGTTTAAGCGAGACCAATTAACATCCAGTTTGTTTCGTCTTCTTGAAATTCCTGGTATTGATACCGTATGCTGTCAGGCGACCGTAGATGTCGTTTTTCATGTCGTCGGGTACTCCGTCACGAGTTCGGGTCAACAACCACGCGGTATCTGAAACATACAAAGTCTGCAGTGTGAGGCCACATAGTATCCATCCTCGATAATCCAGGTTGTTCACTTCATTGTTTACGACAAGCATAAGATTCAACAAGTATTCCACACAGGCGCTTCATTGTTCACGACAAGCATAAGATTCAACAAGTATTCCACACAGACGCTTCATTGTTTACGACACGCATAAGATTCAACAAGTATTCCACACAGACGCTTCATTGTTTACGACACGCATAAGATTCAACAAGTATTCCACACAGACACTTCATTGTTTACGACAAGCATAAGATTCAACAAGTATTCCACACAGACGCTTCATTGTTTACGACACGCATAAGATTCAACAAGTATTCCTTTTAGTCACCTCATTGTTTATGTTCTATACTGAAATTTGTGTTTTAGTTTTTTTAATTGAACAAAAAACTGTTAATAGTCGTGTCCCATTACTAACTGTTTAAATCTATTATCTGATATTAATCTCTATACATACACTGCCATTAATCCCCATCTCAAGTTGTCTCCGGGGCGGTCGGGTAGCCTAGTGGTTAAAGCGTTCGCTCGTCACACCGAAGACCCGGGTTCGATTCCCGACATGGGTACAATGTGTGAAGCCCATTTCTGGTGTCCCCCGCCGTGATATTGCTGGAATATTGCTAAAAGCGGCGTAAAACCATACTCACTCACTCACTCACTCAAGTTGTCTCTACCCAAACATCCCGGTGCCCTCTGATAGTCTCTCCCAGACAAATTATACGGGTAAGTGTCTACACGGACTAGACTGAGCTACGGAGAAACCACTCATGCATGGTCAGACAACCAGGGCATAGTGAAGCTCTAAAAATCAGACGACCAAACACGCACCCACGCACACACGCACGTACACACGCACGCACGCGAGATAAAAGGAAAATATCGATTCTTTTCAAATATTCATCCAAGACAAAAATGACACATCGCTGTAGGAAGAAGTATATTAAGTTTCACCATCATTGGTCCAGTTGTTAAAAGGCTTGGAAATTATAAATACAGTTTAAATTTGAAAGAAAAGGAAATTAATTAATCACAGCCATTTGATACAATATTGGTGCCATCTTTGGTAAATTTGCTTGCTGGTTGGTTGCTCCTTGGTGTTCTTTGCTGCATCGGACCGCCTCCGTGGTCTAGTGGTAGAGCGTCCGCCCGGAGAGCGGAAGGTCCGGGGTTCGATCCCTGGCCGCGTCATACCAAAAGACGTTAAAAGATGGTACTTGTTGTTACCCTGTCTGGCGCTCGGGGATTAAGGCGCTAAAACAAGGACTGGTCGGCTCGGAGTCAGTATACTGTGTCTGAGTGGGGTATTCGTGTTAAACTGCGGCATGGTATCTCAGTGAGCTAGCACTATAATTCGGCATCAGTCCGGTCTAGTACAAGCAGCCACACACACACACGTGCATGCACGTCGCTATATAAGTGCAATAATCTTGGACGCGACGTTAAACCAAATTTAACCTCACCTCACCTCACATATCTCAAGTCTAGATTACTGCAGTTTCAGGTTGAATGTGAAAAATATTGTATTAACATAATTTAACAAAAAAAATCTTTACAATATTTTCATTACGGTAATATGTCACAGTTACATTTCGCTGTAGCACTTCAAATATAGTACAAGCAGCCACACACACACACACACACGTGCATGCACGTCGCTATATAAGTGCAATAATCTTGGACGCGACGTTAAACCCCATATGACCTCACCCACGTCCGATGAACTTCCCTGTTTTGACTTGTACCATATGTTCCTGCGTTGTTGGGTTTTTTTCAAGGTAAAATATTGACTTGCCTTTGCATGTGTTTGTGATTGTTGCCAGCGGCAGGGCAGGATCCGCTCACCTTTTCGCGACACAAATGATGTTAGATGCAATGCAATTCCACATTTTGACTTGTAGCATATGTTCCAGTGGTTTTTCAGGTGAAATATTGACTTGCCTTTACATGTGTTTGTGACGGGTGCCACCGGTGGGGCAGGTTACGCTCACCTTCTTATGACTGTGGAAAAGGTTTTGTCGCTGTTATTTACGAGCAAGAAACACGTTACAGGTAAAGGTTAATACTCTGTTAAAACTAACTTTGACAGACGGTTTAATTCCACACTGGTATATGATTTTGTTAACAAGTATTTATCCACATCCGACTAGAATACAACGCTGCACAGACACAAATACAGCACATGTTTCCAACTATATTATGGGGAAAACCTGGACGCTGTGCGTTTAAAGGGAAACAAGGTTACTGCAGTTAAATCCCCCAAACACAAATACGCGGGTCTACCTGTTCCAATGTTTTAATTAAGCAGTTAATGTTCATGGAAATTACATACAGACAATCCCCCGTCTTCACACATGTATTATAATTGAAAAATCTAGAACGGGGCCCAACATGAGGACCCAGTTGTGAGCACGGTCCCCTGAAAGCGCAAAGTAACGGAATGTAAAAAGTCTACATGGACCCTACCGAGGTGCATGAAGTAAAGGTCGATGCAGGAGTAGACGACGCTGTAGTTGGAGTAGTCGGTCTCCACCACCCAGTAGTTGCCGGGGCGCTGCCCTGAAACACACAGTGAGTGAGTGAGTGGGTTTTAGTTAGTGAGTAAGTGAATTAGCGATACATCATCATCATCATCATCATAATCATCATTATTCCACTTTCGAAAAAAAGTCTTTTGCTTAAGGAGACACCACTACTAAGCTTTGTTTCAATGGCCGAAACCATAGAAACCCATCCACCTACTCTCCGCCACCAACGTTGTTTAACGTCGCCTGATTTGTGACATGTGTGCAATACACAGGACCACGTGCCACCACTATATTAACAGACAAAAGTGTGTGGTGTGTGTGTGTGTGTGTGTGTGTGTGTGTGTGTGTGTGTGTGTGTGTGTGTGTGTGTGTGTGTGTGTGTGTGTGTGTGTGTGTGTGTGTGTGTGTGTGTGTGTGTGTGTGTGTGTGTGAGTGTGTGTGTGTGTGTGTTTTACAGACTTTAGTGAAGTATCCTTTTACTAGTGCCTGATTACGCATTAGAGATGAATCGCAGTTTGAAATGTGACACCTCTACCCATTAAACAGCACTACGACTGGTCTGTATAGGAAAAAAAGAGTTTTGTTGTATGCACAGTAAGATCGATATATTTTTAAACCTCTCAAGTCTACATCTTAGTTATATGGTATTTGAGTCCTATCATGGCCCGTCATCTTAACGTGGGAGAAAGATGACAGGTCTTACACATTTACCTCTTTCGGGAATCCCCCGAGCACCTGTATGGTGATGACAGACCTAGAAACATAATCAGGGCGATTCTGGGATTCGAACCCACAAACACAGGGTACTGGCACGCGCACGCCTAAGGGACGCAACTCTGAACAGCGAATTGCGTCGAATAAGAAGACTCAGCTACCCAACCCCCACCATAATTAAAATTATGCATTTCCAGTGATAGATATGTAATACACTGTTTTGATCACTGTCACGATTACTCTGTTGCGTAAATATGAGAGCAGCAGCTAGCCGAGTTACTCACACCAGAAGAACTTCACAAGAAGCTTGGCTGGCTCCGATGGGTCAGGGGCATATGCATCGCCTTCGATTGATCTGAAACAATTGGCACATTTGGAGTTCAAAGATCTCCAAAGATGTTTCAAGTCTTCGAATGGCATTAGGAAGAGAATTTATGGATGTCAGTTTCTTTATTGTGAGGAACACAACGTTTCGGGGTATATACTTACTCCTTCTTCAAGTGAATACATGTTATGAAGCAACTTATATACATTTATGTACCTGTAAGAACAACAAAAGTAAAATGATAATAAAGGTGGTAACTTTACAGGGGAAGCAAACAGCGTCATACGCTTCTTATCATCTGTTTACAAATATGGGCTACAGCTTATGGTATCTCGACCACTCTCTGACGTCATGTCCCGGGGTTATCTCCCTTGTTTACCTCCCGGTCCCGCTGTTCAGCACCCTCACATGTCCGTTAGCCTTCATCGAGTAGTTGGCCTGGGCACACTCTGCCCCGATCTCGTACACCGCGAAGAATCGCTCGTCTTCATACCAGGTTCCTAGGTACTGCAACACACACGAACATTTGGTCAACCACCAAACAACACGCCAACATTTGGTCAACTACCAACCAACACTCCAACATTTGGTCAACTACCAACCAACACACCAACATGTGGTCAACTACCAACCAACACACCAACATTTGGTCAACTACCAACCAACACACCAACATGTGGTCAACTAGCAACCAACACACCAATATGTGGTCAACTACCAACCAACACACCAACATTTGGTAAACTACCAACCAACACACCAACATTTTGTCAACCACCAACCAACACACCAACATGTGGTCAACTACCAACCAACACACCAACATGTGGTCAACTACCAACCAACACACCAACACGTGGTCAACCACCAAACAACACACCAACATGTGGTCAACTAGCAACCAACACACCAACATTTGAAGTTTTAACATATTGTGGTACGTCTTGTTTTTGTTTCTCTTAGGCGTTTTAATTAGGAGATAAACCAACTGGTTTCTTTTCTTAAAATTGTAGGTAGTCTCACCGTGGATTCGATACCCTTTGTTTCAAATTGAAACCTGAAATTCAATGCTTTAGCGCGTGGTATAAATTATACAGAAAGTCAATTGTCCACCGTCGTGCGTCATTTCAAATTCAATATTTTGCATTTGACCCCTACAATGAAAATGCCAATATTTAACAATATATCATAATCGGTACAATATATCGGTTGTGTCGTTTTTGTCTACACAGTGTCCCCACATGACCTCGGGTATTTTTTAATTCAGGGAAGCAATGTACACTGCACACACTGAATACTTCTGTGTCAGCGTATTTGGGCGGTGAGACTAAGTCGTACAGTGAACGGTTTTGCTGGTATTTGCGCATATCCACGACTGTTTACATGACAAGTCGAGAAGTATTTACAGGCTACAGTTGCTGAATAGAGCTTAGCGCTCCCAGAGGATGGGACATTGTACGAATACTTGAGTAACCTCAAGTCACGAAAAATACTATATGTTTTCTTCACAGGTTCTTCTTCGAAATGACCAGGCCTTCGGTAACACTCGCTACAAACCGTGGACAAATCTATTACAGTAAACTACGTTTATAACGAACACGCTTATAACGAACTGGTTCCGACCATTTGCTGTATATATGCTGTGTATATGCTTATAACGAAATACGGTTATAACGAACTAAAGTTAGTGGTCCCTTTGAGCTCGTTATAACCGTCGTATACTGTATTCTCAAATTACTGCTCATGATATCAATCACTGGATTGTCTGGCCCAGACTCGATTATTTACAGCTCGCCGTCATATAGCTGGAATATTGCTGAGTGCGGCGTAAAACAACAAACCAACTAATACAGCCATATCCGACGTTGATGAGTGCGGCGTTAAGCAACATACATAAACGAAATAGACTCGAGTATACATATACAGGCTCCTGATACACAGCTAGAATAATACCGACGTTTAAGAATAATCAAACAAAACAATTTAACATACCGAGGTCAGACTAAAGTTACCCTGCACGGGTACATCTGGACATCGCCAGAGCGCTGGCACTTGTCCTTGGACGATGACCAGAGCAGCCAACAGAACCACACAGAGCACAGCTTCCATCTTCACAGAACACACTTCACTCTGGCAGAATGCTTAACGCCACAAACTTATCAGCACTGTGGACGAACTAGGCGACATACAATTACTGGTCACTAATTGGCAAGCCTGGGTGTCTGATCATGACCTTCATATATAGGACATGACATTATATTTTCTGTTTACTGGCCACTCTAGCCACATTTCTTCTAGGTTGCCATTACAAACAGGCAGTTTCTAATCAACCGACACAGCACAACATCACGTCAAAGATACCCGTTTCATTGTGAATTAGAAACAGCTGAAGCCTGGAACAGACAAGGAAAGCAAGTTCGTTTAATGCATTAGTCTTGAACTGTCCCGTTTTGTACCGTTTTGTACCGTTTTGTGTGTTTTGTACTGGTTATAACGCCGAACCTTGCTCTCTCGACGTGGTACGCCTCACTGTTTTCTGCCCTTTAGATACAAATTATCTAAATGTTATCAATGTTTTCGTTGTCCGCGTTATCAGTTGTAGATTACCTTTGATGGACTTCCGAAAACTTATATAAGACTTCGTGTCAACGGCTGTGTATGTAATTCTCGTGTAGCCAGTCACACCTTGATGAAACGTCTATGTTGACAACGTGTCACACATTACGGCCGGCTATAGTTAATATAAATGTACATTAAAGAATATAATTGTTGCCTATAACACAACCAAACTCACTACGACCGAACTTTAATTGTTCCGCTCACGACGTCATTGCTTTAACGCATCCCGATGACCAGTTTCATCAACTATAGCGGATGACTGCATCATCACCGATTCATCGTTTATTGTTGTCACATTATTAGCTGTGCCACCTAACACGACACTTCCACCCCCAGCCTTGATGACAATCGTGGAGGCCTGTTCTTTCGTTTCGGTTTTTTACACGCCACACTCCACAATATTCCAGTTATTTGACGGCGGCCTGTATATAGTCGATTCTGGACCCCTGAAACCAGTGATTGATATCATGAGCAGCAATCTTCGCCGCCGGGATGAGCCTGGCCATCCGTTTCATGAAGTCGACTCGTACGACAACCATAGGGTACTATGAATTATTTATTCAAACCTGGAACCTTCACCAGAACTAGGAATCTGCTGCCGTTGTTGAAACATTGCGGAATGTGGCGTAAAACAGCATTCATTCACTCACTTCAGACAAATATTCATACCCATACTTCTATACTTAAACTGCATCGAATTTTGACGTAACTCTGTGATAAACACGACTTTTAAGTTTTATTTTGAGATATAATTATGTCATAATCTAAAGAAACGAATAACAAATTACATATTTTAATGTGTGAATATACTGTGACATAATCTTTTAATATTTTAGGACAATGCTCGATAAACGTGGCAGCCCCAAACAGTTTGAGTGAAATCCTAATTTTGAGTCTGTTAAATATACTTATTTGCGTACCTCCATCTGACAGTTTATGATTTAAGTACACAAAGAACCTGTATCAGTATCGACTAGGGAAGATCCGGGGTAGAATAGGTCTGGAGAAACCCATGCTTGCCGTAAGTGGCGACTAACGGTCAGGCTTGCTGACTTGGTTGAAGCATGTCATCGATCCCAATCGCGTAGATCGATACTCATGTCAATCACTGGATTATCTGGTCCAGATTCGATTATTTACAGATCGCCGTCATATAGCTGGAATATTGCTGAGTGCAGCGTTAAACAACAAACAAACAGTAAAACAAATTTATGTCTAATGTGGCCTGGCCTGGTACGGACGCTGACATTTGACGCCAAGTGTACATTTCAACACCTGTTGATAGGACACGTCAAAATAGACCTCTATGTTGGGTTCGACATTTAATAGTTTGACAATGTTTGACAATAGACAATGACACGAAGCATCGTTATTTGATAATATGTTACCATCACAATGGTTGGTTGGTTCGTTGTTTAACGCCGCATTCCAGCTATATGACGGCGGTCTGTAAATAATCGAGTCTGGATCAGACAATCCAGTGATTGATATCATGAGCATCGATTCACGTAATTAGGATTGATGACCTGCATCAACCAAGTCAGCGAGCCTGACCACCCGATCCCGTTAGTCGCCTCTTACGACAAGCATAGTCACCTTTTACGGCAAGCATGGGTTGCTGAAGATCTATTCTTCCCCGGATCCTCACGGGTCCCATCACAATGGATACTCAACCATCGTATTGTCATGTTGTCACCACTAGATCAACTCACGGGGGCATTTAGGTTCACTACGGTTGACATTATAAATAGGTAATGGGAGACAGCAGCCATTGTAAAGTACCGTATTTCATCTCCATAAAACGTTGCTAGTGCACAACTCACCTCTCCATGTTCTTGATCAAATTGAAGTTTGGTTTCTGTTATCAGTAGAATTATTCATGGGCGTTAACTTTACATTCCATAGTTTCTGGAATATGCAATACGACTGTCAAAACTCTCATATCATGAGTTTAATATCTCAACAGCGGTGTGTGTGTGTGTGTGTGTGTGTGGGGGGGGGGGGGGGGGGGGGGGGGGTAGTCAGGCGCCTAGTGGTCTTTCAGTCCACGAAACCGAATGTTTCTAATACCCCGTTCACATGCGCCTCTATACATATGTGTGTATGTGTGCATACGTGTGCAGTAATACATACGTGAGTATACTCGTCATGTGAACGCGTCATGTCAGGAACAGGTGCAATATAAATGTAAATTGGCACTGTCGGTATGTGTTGCAATGTGAACGTTTATGTCAACGTAATAGGATGATCTAATTACTATCTGTTCTTTTGCCAACACCAAACAAATTGTCAACAGTTGCCAACTTTTATGCGTATATAGAGAGTTGAGCGGAATGTGTTTTCTTTTGCTTTCAAGGAGTCGGAACTTTGTGTACAAATTAAATCAAACACAGGTTGCTTCACGCGAAAATTTTCAGTGAAGTAATTCTCTTCTCATACAACTTTGATTGGAAAACAACCTTTTTGTTTTGTGTTGAAAGTCGTAAACAGACTGACGAATATGAGTGCCTTACACAATTTACATACTTTATTTAAACACCTAAGATGTTTTTCGTGCGAATGCATAGTAAATTTACATAAACACATGTATGTATAGTTACACATGTGTATAACATTACTTACGTTGGTAAATGATGTGCATGTGAGCGGGGTATAAGATGGGTAATGCGTGTCGTGGATGATGTAGCTCCAGACTGGTCCAGACTTCCTGTATCATAAAATGCGAGTACGAGAAACCCGACAAGTCCATCAATTTGTCTCGGTGTCTGTGCCAGACACGCTCGCCATGTTTGCTGCCTCTCTCCGTGTTATTTCAGTGTAGTTCATGGCAAACGCTAACCAACGTTCTGAAATACTAGTTTACATTCCTGCATAAAAGAAGGGCCACATTTACGGATTATGGTGTCTGTAACTGATAAGGGGGCATGGGTGGCCAGTCGTCTAAGGCGCCGCGATTCGCTGTGCAGAGTTGCGTCCCTTGGGCACGCCAGAAACCTATGATTGTGGGTTCGAATCCCGTTTCGCCCCGACTATGTTTCTAGGTTTGTCAGCACCATACTCGTGCTCGTGGGTTTCACCGAAGTGGTAAATGTCTGATACCTGTAACACTTCGGGCTTTCCTCCCACATTAAGCTGACACGCCGCGATATAACTGGAATATTGTTAAAAGCGGCGTTAAACCCAACTCACTCACTGTAACTGATAACGCATGTGCTAAGTCTAGCCCAGCAACGACTGTGTGTTACTAATGGCAGAGAGGCCGTACTTGGCTGTGTGTTGGTGCACCGTACACCAACGTCATGTTCGTTTGTTTGTTTGTTTTGTTTGTTGTTTAACGCCGCACTTAGCAGTATTCCAGCTATATGACGGCGGTCTGTAAATAATCGAGTCTGGACAGACAATCAAGTGATTGACATCATGAGCATCAATCCACACAATTGGGATACGATGTCATGCATCAACCAAGTCAGCAAGCCTGACCAGCCGATCCCTTTAGTCGCCTCTTACGACAAGCAAACGAACGAACGAACGAACGAATCAGACGACTGGGCCTGCGACACTTTAATCAGAAGGTCCCCGACCACTCCTAATCCATGCAGGTCACTGGGGGACTTCCGGGTCAGAGGCGGCCCTTGTAACTGCTTGTCGTGAGAGCCGACTGCACTGGGGATCGGGTGGTCAAGTCCTGTGGCTGTCTGACATTGAGGAGTGAGACGTTGATCATGACACAGCCGCTAGTTATCCGGAATACAGACCGCAGTGATCCAGCTGGAATATTGCTGACTGAGACATAAGCAACATCAACCCGCTAAGGCCGGATTTTTTTCTTTCGTTTGTTAACGAAATATTTATTAACTTCAGGTCGGTAGCTCGAAAAGCTAAAAAAAATAACAAATCCAATTTCAAATGTTTTTCCAAATGTTAAGTTGGTTGGAAATTTTTAATTTTGTAAAATAAGTGGTGGCAGGAGTTTTTAAAAATTAAGGTTTTAGTTATAAAATTTGAAAAAAATTATAATTATTTATGTTTTTCACATTTCAGCTTTCAGAATCAGCGGAAATGTTTAAAAAAGTCTGGATTAAGAAATAATTCATGAGTGAGCGAGTATGGTTTTACGCCGCTTTTAGCAATATTCCAGCAATATCACGGCGGGGACACCAGAAATTGGCTTCACACATTGTACCCATGTCGGGAATCGTACCCGGGTCTTCGGCGTGACGATCGAACGCTTTAACCACTAGGCTACCCGACCGCCCCTAATAATGCATGAAAGAGCAAAGGTATTATACAATTCGTTGACAACATTGACAAGTATTTATAACACACGAGGCACACTGATCATACACTATCTCCACATTGGTTCTTGGTCGTCATAAAACCCACCACTGCCATAGATGTTGCTGATTCTTCTAGAATGGCGAGCAGCTGCTTGTCTTTTCTTGAGTTCGTCGAGAGAATCCAAAAACATTCTCACACGAACTTGGAGTCTTTCATTCTGAATTCTGTTCATCTCACGTAAAGCCACAACGGGTTCAGTTTTCTCTTCCGAGTCAGGCATGTGATCCAAATTCGTCATCTGAATCAGCTTCCGGCGGGAAAGAACAGCCGACTTGGAGCGAGAGCAGACGAGACTTGGTTTATCGTCTGCTGGTTCATTTGACTCTTTGCCGTCTGCGTTGGAAAAAGTAGGTTTCTGCCTCGTTCTGGGTCTGTGACAAGCAGACCTGCTTCTACCCAGACCGGAAGCTGGCGTGGGTGTCCTTTTCTTGACCACAGCGTCGGACGGAAGTAGAACATCTGTATACCACGAAGACGGGAACTTCCGGTTCTCAAGCTGTGCTGTAATGAGACCCGCTTTTGAAATAACTTTTGGTTGTATATGAGCTTTAGCCTTAGTGACCACCTCTCTGCTTACAGAAGAATCGTCGCTGCTACTGTAACTGCTACTGTCAGAGTCGGAATCGTCAGGAATACGGACGTTGAGCTTCACAACTCTCGCTTGCGAGGCCGTACTCACAGGCCGCTGCGGGCGTTTCATATAGACCGGAGTGGTCTTCGGCCGCGCCTCGGAATTTGCGTGATGTGCGGACTTCTTCATAGCCTCAAACCCGCCCAGCGTTCTCCGCAGTTCTTTAATCTCAACGTCACGGTTAATGTATTGGCGGTGTTTGTATTTCAACAGAATATCATTGAATATACCCTGCTCCTCCGAGAGACGGTCGTTTTCGAAGTAAACGTCACTGTGATCTATTCTTAATGTTCCGTCTCCTAATTGAGTTTTCTTTTTCACTTTGTCCAGATCCATATCTACAGCTTCGCAGTTCTGGAATGACACAACAACGACAATTATATTGAATGTTGAGTTCAATAAACCATAATAATCCACTTGAAATTCCCAGCGAGTCTAGATACATCAGTATGCAAGTGTTGAATATTTAACTGTTGCGGTTGTAGTGTCGGGTCTCGAAGCAGTAATGTATTTCAACATAAGAATGCAAATCATGCTCCGTCACTACGGTAGTCGTACATGCCATTGTATCTTGATATGGATTGCAGAACAGACGCATACGGAGATCAGTGCGGCCTGTAAATAATCAATTTCGGCAATCAAACCAGTGATTGAAAGGTTACATTACGATATCACCGCGACGTACCACCTGATCCCGTTCAGTCGACTCTTACAAGTGAGTGAGTGAGTGGGGTTTTACGCCGCTTTTAGCAATATTCCAGCAATATCACGGCGGGGGACACCACAAATTGGCTTCACACATTGTACCCTTGTCGGGAATCGAACCCGGGTCTTCGGCGTGACGAGCGAACGCTTTAACCACCAGGCTACCAGTATAGGTACCATAGAGGGATCCTTTTTGAAAACTATATGTAGTTTACTGTAGGCAGTTAAATTATCTGAGCGAGGATTTGATATATTGGACCCTATCATAAGTCTAGGTTAAGGAATGGGAGCTACGACCACCTTAGCGCCAGGTCTGCGAAGATTGTTTCAAGAAACGATGTTTTCAAGTGTGTATGCCAATGTTACGGGTTGTTATGCGTATGAAGAATGGCTAATGTCAAAACATGATAACGGATGTCCATTGACGCAGAACCCTGATCGCCTTATGTTGACGGGTTGACTGTGGTGTGTTATGGAGCATTGATCAGCTGGCAACGACAATGTTTGTGCATTCCAAGTGAAGCGGAAATCTCTATTGAGTTGTAATCCCGATCTGACACCTTCTGGTCGGTGTTATGGGGGATTTAGTGATCAAACAAAGCCAGATGGAAGTCGACCCGAGAAATATCCAGATTATTGTCTTGATAAATTGTTACCGTTTTGATCTATTAGGCCAGTTAAGTAAAATAGTGTTCCTCGTGACATTTTACAAACAGTGACGGGGTAGGGAGTTTTCATATATTTTATTTCTTCACTAAGTTACAAATCTTAAATAGACTTGTGTTTGTGTACCACGTGACCTCTTTTGGAACCGGCATCTGCGACTCGAAATATCACCAGGACTAGGTTCCCTAACACTCTGTAATGGAGAAATCATGAGAATCTGTTGATAATTCTTGCGGATTCAGCAGATTCGAGTGATTTCTCCTACTTTAACCATGTCTTGGTTGATAAATCATCTCTCCTCAACTGTGCATAATGACCGATAATTGCGTCGGTTTTACTTGTTATAAGGCACGTTCAGAATGACCAGTGAATTCCTGTGTAAGAATAAACTGCTACAACAATAGTTTGACGTCATCGTTATGGTTTAAGATATGAATGGCAATTTCAGGAGGACGAGAATTTATGGATGTCAACTTCTTTATTATGAGGAACACCAGGTTTCGGAGTATATTCTTAGTCCTTATTTATGGATGTTAACTTCTTATTATGAGGAACACCACGTTTCGGAGTATATACTTAGTCCTTATTTATGGATCTCAACTTCTTTATTATGAGGAACACCACGTTTCGGAGTATATTCTTAGTCCTTATTTATGGATGTTAACTTCTTATTATGAGGAACACCACGTTTCGGAGTATATACTTAGTCCTTCGTCAGGTGACGAATAAGTAAGTATATACTTCGAAACGTTGTTCCTCATAGTAAAGAGGTTGACATTCTTAAATTATCTTCCTTATGTGTATCACTTCTAAATGCCTTTCAAAGACTTAATGGAGATTTCTTTTTCAAAAGGTGTCCCCCACTTTAAAATAATTACCGCTTCCATGTTTGTTTGTTTTTTACGCCGCAATCAGCAATATTCCAGCTATATTACGGCGGTCTGTAAATTATCGAGTCTGGACCAGACAATCCAGTGACTGACATCATGAACATCGATCCATGCAACTGGGATCGATGACATGAATCTACAAAGTCAGCGAGTCTGACCGCCCGATCCCGTTAGTTGCCTCTTACGACAAGCATGGGTTGCTGAAGACCTATTCTACCCCGGATCTTCACGAGCAACCGTTTTGATGCATACACAGGTAATGGAGGGAGTCTTATACATGTTGATATGCGGTCACTGGTTTAAGAAAGTATGGAAGTAAAATACAATTTAAATATATTGAAATAACAAACAAAGCTTTGGACGTCCATATCTTGAAACCAATATTGGGTATTTGTGTTTTCTACGGCGTGTACCAGAATAGTCGCAACTCGTAATTAAAGGACAGATTAGCCAGTTACTAACTACATACATCAGTGTACACAAACAATCTACAGCCTCATTCTACCCTACCTGTGAGGTGCGGCCATGGTGGTGGCACTTCCCGCCATGTCGCCGACTGCTGTAGGACAGCGAATATGTGTCGCAAGCACTTCCGCAACCACACCCTTAACAAAGTGTTCTTGATCAGGTCGATTTGAACCCATATCTCACTGAGATCAAAACACAAATCTGATATGGACCACAGTGTCAACGATAGAAGCTTAGTCTGACGACAGACATTCTCAATCAGGACGGATTTGTGTCAAGAGGAATCTGGGTACAGCCTCTTACTGGGGCTTGGTGAAATGGCCGCAAGGCAATGGCGGTCGCTACCTTTCTCTGTGGACTGTTGTGCTTGATCTTTGATCGGCGTTGGTTTATAGACACACGAGCAGGCGAATTTCATCTTCTGCATTCTTTGTACAACATGTTTCCAACCCACTTATTGAACGTTCTATAATGCTGTTTGATGTAAACAATATACCGTTGAACGGTGTTGAATGGTGTTTGATATAAACAATATACCGTTGAACGGTGTTGAATGGTGTTTGAGATAAACAATATACCCGTTGAACGTTGCTATTATAACGTTTCATATAAATGATATACCGTTGAACGTTGCTGTTAGTCTTTGATATAAATAATATATCGTTGAACGCTGCTATAATAGCGTTTTATATGACAACATATCCGTTGAACGTTGTATAATGGTGTTTATATAAACAGTATACCCGTTGAACGTTGTATGATGTTGTTTGATATGAACAATATACCCGTTGAACGTTGCTATTATAATGTTTCATATAAACATTATACCGTTTATCGTTGCTATAATAGCGTGCTACATTGTAGTAGATTCTTTAAGTTCCTGCAGCCTGATTTAACATAACTCCACAAACATATATTTCAAGCAAATAATTAAGAACTCCAAATCTGTACAATTGATGGTGTACTGGTGTTGTTTTTCTTTGACTGAAAACATTTAACATTCGGTTAAGACTGCTTCTCATCAACAATGCCAGTCGTGATTTGTTTTGTGGCTGAATGTATTGAGCCAAACATCCCCCGATAACTGCCATCACGTCCTTGTATGTTGAAATGTTATGAAAGTGATATATACTAGTACCCCACAAGTAATTTCCATAACACTTAAAATTTTTGTTCTGTAAACACTTCTCTTATAAGCTTTTCCAGTATGAAACTCGACACCATTGTTTACAATCAAATTTACCAGTAAATATCGGCAATACATGGAAGCGCTATTTGTTAAATGAACATAAGCAGTAGTCAAGTCAAAGGAACAATTAAGTCATATATACGGTGAAATGGAAGCTATGTATGTTGTTTTTTTATTCTCCGAGAAATCACAGTGAACAAAAACATACAAGTACGCAATGGAATACAAGTGGTTTTCCAACTGCCCGAAGAATTGATCGAATAATTGCATTAAGAACAATTCGAATATATCAAATATTAATGAAACATTTCTCACTTGGATACCATTACAAAATACACCCACATCATTGTACCTCCTCTGGTAGTCGGAAAAGATCCGTGAAGATCCGGGTTATAACAGGTATTCAGCAATTAATGCTTGCCGTAAAAGGCGACTATGCTTGGCGACTAGCGGGATCGGGTGGTCAGGTTCGCTGACTTGGTTGATGCATGGCATCCTATCCCAATTGCGTAGATCGATGCTCATGATGTCAATCACTGGATTGTCTGGTCCAGACTCGATTATTTATAATCCGCTGTCTTATGGCTGGAATATTGTTGAGTGCGGCGTAAAGCAACAAACAAAGTAATCGGAAAATAATATTTAAAACCAAACGACACCTCACCCCTCACCCCACCCCCACCCCCTCCCCCACCCCCACCCCCTCCCCCACCACACGTCCTTGTAATCCGGTATCTATCTTTCAAATATGCTCTGTGCAAGCGAGTATCACACGCGAATCCTCTTTCACATAACTGTTTCTCTTCCCTTGCCTAACGAGACAACTGCGCTAAGACCTCGCGGATAACAATCGATTCGAATGGAGTCTGTTCGCACAAACATATACCCTGACAAATCACCTCCCTTGTTAAATCTCTTGTTATTCGAGATTAATACCCAATCGGAAACATATACACCCGAAGTTAACCGTAAGTGTATTAGAGAGATAGGAATATCAGATAAGGTTATTGGGATATCGACACGAACTGAATTTGGGTGCGGGTGGTTTAGTGATATGTACATTAATTCTCACGGGCAACAGTATGTCATGCAAGAAGACTTATTAATATCTAATAAACAGTGCTGCATGCGCTAGTCAAATGCCAGTGTTGTCAGTTAGATAAGGCATTCTTACAAATGCACTTGCAGCACGAAAATCGCGAGTATATCCGAGTGTTTCTTGCAACCAGACTGGAAGACCTGGGTCAACATTGTAAGTGAGTGAGTGTTTTAACAACGCTTTTTACAAGTTCTATCAGTATTCCAGTCATATCACGGCGAGTCAGTTTAATGTGGGAGGAAAGCCCGAAGTAATACAGGTCTTGGACGTCTACCACTTTGGTGAAAACTGAAAACACGGGTATAGTGCTGACGAACCTAGAAACAGCGCGAACAGGGATTCGAACGGCCAGGTTTCTGGCACGCCTAAGGGACGTAACTCTGCACACCGACTGGGCAACCCATAAACATATATATGGGGTCTTGATACTTTCATCTGGTGGTTTGATTCATATAAAATGTTCTCTTTATATTACCGCCCCTTCTGATAATGCTGGCAAAACGGACGTCAAAGGCGACAAACACGCAGCGCAGAGTTCCGTAACTCAGTCGTTCCAGGATCCGCTGACAGTTGGGACAAATGCACATGGATTCGCTAAAATCGGTAGTTGTCTACGGCCTTAGTAACGCTTGGCTCTCCTTAATCTTTAAGCGTTGATACAACTAAATTACTGTTCAAAGCGGCGTTAACGCAACTCATATATCATAAATAATGTTGTTACCTGTTTGAAATTATTTTTGTGAATATTCAGTCGTATATCATCACTTCAAGATTTAGAAAATTGAGACACGTCCTGAAAGCTGTGATTGATACGAAGTCGAGAATTTATAACCATTAAACCCATTGATTTAATATCTTCTACACCCATAATACACTGAATACACTGCAGTCGCTGGATAAAAACACATACACTTAAACCATAGGTATCAGGTAGGGGATTAGTAATCAGTCAACCATTACTAAATCTGTCGACCCAGTGGGGTGTCTGACAGATGAGAGGACACCCGCAGTCGTAAGAAATCACTACCTAGAAGTTCCAATTCTTTTCCAGACAATACCTTAAAATGTGCCTGCCGACGTCACCGAAAATCCACACAAAGCTCAAAGCACCGCACCACAGGCTAATTAAGCCACCTGCCACGAGTACCTGTTCATTTAGATCTTGAGCGGATTCGTGATCATCTTCTATCAACCTATTGTTAAAGTGCGATTGAATATGCATGCGATTTACCTATGTATCCGTCGACAGATTGAAATGTACACCGTCTGATGACAGAGACAATGGTTGTCAATATACAGTAACTGTGCTCGTCGACCCTGCCTTGGCCTGAACGTTGTGGGGTTCTGGGATAAAGGGTTATATACTCCGTCGGTCTTTTGTTTGTGTACTGAATATAGAGTACCTGTCTTTTGATGATATATGAGCAACGGTGTATCTTATTAGTAAGTTGATTGCTTGTTCTATTCACAAAGACAATTTTCTGTAATAATACATTAATTTGATTAACCTTTGTAATGAAAAATGTGGAATTCGGTTCCATTTGACAGAACAAGACTGAAACAAGTCAGTTGTTCATGTTAACATGATACACAGATGTATCTATCTGTACGATATTTTCGTCTAAAAAAATAAGACACAGTTGTCATTAACTCTTGTTAAAGCTGACTGTCGTTTTGTGGATTTAATGTATAGATGCATTTACAATTTAACCTCCCTAACTCGAAGTCATCGGAAACTTTGAATAAATCCGTTGTTCGAGACTAGCGGAGTGTCGCTGTTAAACCATAATGCCGATGAGTTTTTGCAAGCGCTTTAACGTGATATCGTTTAAAGCGATATATCGAGATAATTAAGTTCGATCAAACGAGGTTTCATCTTGTTTTCTGATATGATTGTCTCCTAGATAAATGTACAACCATATATATCTCATTATCATCTGGCCTCTTGGCACATACATACTATAGGATCTTACCGAAAGCAGCGTGCCATGACTCACTTCATCCGCTACTATTAAACCACCACCGCTGCTACTACTACTACCACCACCGCCACCATTAATACTATAATACTATTTCTTGTTGTTACCATTGCGCGCTGCTGCTGCTACTACAACTAGTACTAGTACAACAAAAACTACTGCTGCTGTTGTTGTTGCTTATGCTATCACCGCTTCTGCTGCTGCTACTACTATTACAGCTCGTGCTGCAACTACTACTGCAACTACTACCACCACTACTACTAGTACTACTACTGTAGCTGCTGCTACTACTGCCACTGCTACGACTCTGCTACTGCTACTGCTACAACTGCTACTTCTAGAAGTAAAGAGTACAACTGCTACTAATACCACTACCGCTGCTACGACCCTACTACTGTTACTGCCACAACTACTACTGCTACTTCTACAAGTTAAGAGTACAACTACTACTACTACTACTACTACTACTACTAGAAGTTAAGAGTACAACTACTACTACTACTGCTGCTGCTGCTACTGCTGCTACTGCTACAAGTTAAGAGTACAACTGCTACTACTACCATTACCGCTGCTACTACCCTACTACTGCTACTACTACTACTACCGCTGCTGCTACTACCGCCGCTTCTACTGAGGTGACGACAGAATTAAGTATACGAATATAATAATTAGTGTATTGAAATACAAAGAAACTTCGAAGACGACTATTGAGTCATCACATAAAATATAATACCTGTATACACAACATCACTCTCACCCATCTATCGTCTTGTCAGCGAAGACAGAATTTTACAGAAACCTCTCCAGACACATGTACACGGACGCCACACAAAGGTACCTAAAATTACGTTAAGGAGATCCAACATGCCTAAGACATGTACAACAGTTTGAAATACCCACCTTCAGGACAGTATTCCACTACAGCGTGCGTCCGTGCATCTGCTCCCGCATCCCGCCTCTCGCCCCAACGGCGCTTGTGACAACAGTGAGAACAGCGACGCTCTTCATCGAAGACGATACGCATAGACTTGCTCGGGCTTTCTGACAATATCCGCGACTGTAGTCCGTGGTTATGGATTGGTTATGTGAAAAATGCTATGAAATGTGTCAACGAGTGTTAGATGAGACATAACCCGGCTAGGAATAGCGTGTCTTCTACATTCAAACGTTGACTGATAGCACACCCACGACACTGAGCGGGTGATTAGGGCGCCTTCAGTGTAGCCTTGCTTCCTGTGCACCGCGGCATCCGACTAGTAGAACTACATCAAACATCGGATTTAGCGAACTATTATATAAATCGAAGTCAGCTGTAAAGCTAATACGTATTATTAACGACGTATTGATATATTGAAATACTAACTGATTTCTTCTCTGAGAGCGGAAGCCCGGCTTCTTGCCGAGGCAAGGGAGGTAACTGACTGTAAAAGTCTAGTTTCATATGAGTTAACACCCCTGCCTCGGGTAGGTGAAGGTCGGTTGTATCGAACGACGTTTAAAGAAGGCACCTCTTGTTGACCTGCCTGGCGCTAAGGGCTCGAAACAAGGACTGGTTGGCTCAGGGACAGTATAATGTATCTGAGTGACACATACACACACACACGCACGCATGCACGCACGCACGCACGCACGCACGCATGCATGCATGCATGTACGTCGCTATATAAGTGAAATATCTGGAACGCGACGTTAAACGACATATCCCTGACTCACTGACTATAAAGATTTTGACAGTTTAATATCATATCGACCTTAAATATTCGTGTCTAGGCGGGCTTAACTAGTGCATAGGATTTCACGCCGCATTTAGACATAGTCTACAAGTCGTGTCATGAGGCACCAGAAATGGGTTTCACACATTGTACCCATGTGGGAATCAAAGCCTGGTTTTCGGTGCGACAGGCGAATGCTTCAACCACTGGGCTACCCCTTGATAAACCAGTGGTTGATGGTATGAGCAATGCTCCACACATCAGGAAATATTGACACATAATTAACCAGGTGGGACATTGGCAACACCCATCGCTGCCACATTTTTGGAAAAATCAGTGAGTTGTTAGATGAAGCATGTCAAGGTAGGAAACGACCTGATTCCAGTTTGGCATAAGTACACATAATTCCCAATGTGAATCTGATTTTTTACATTTACGTTATATTCAAAACATAATATTTTCATTCAGTGAAAGCTGATAAGTGCCTGACCCTGTTATTCCGGAAGCCTACAGTCCGGATACAGAAGGTTTCAATGTACAAGCATTGCGACAATCCCAACACTACAGGATATTATTCAGTTGTTTTCTTTCAAAAAATACTGTAAACAATAATTTTGCGCCATGTTTTACGATAAAGATATTATTGTTCGTGGGACATACTTGATGTTGTGACATATAAATGTGTTCGACTACTTATTTCAAAGAAACATATTGTATACATTTCTTATAATATCGCAAAAATACACAAATCCGCATGTTGCTCACATGGGTAATGAACCAGTGACGTGTGTTTGCCTGTATAACAAACGAACGCGTTTATACTTTGACAGCTCTCGGGCAAGTCTATCTGTCAAGTATACTTCCTTGTAAAACAGATAATCGTCTCAAGTAGCGTGCGTGGCACGGAGACAACCGCCTCAGCAGGGGAGGGTACGGTAATCTTTGATCAACTCAAGATGGCCGCCGAGAAGACCATATCACATCCTCTGATCTCCCTAATACCGGGCTGTTATGCATGGCAACACTCGCTCAGCTAGTCAGTCTGGTATTGTTTTGTCAGTGTCCTCGTTGCAACGGAGCAGTGGCATGATCTCAGGCAATCACACGAGGTGTGGATTGGGGATTAATCTTGAATAGGCTTATGAAACTAATACTTGTTTTGAAAATGTCTCGGCCAGACTTGTCATACCGTCACCCATATCATACCCTCAGTCTTTGGCTTTGCAATGTGAATGTTTCGTTATGTTTGAGTGAGTGAGTGAGTGAGTGAGTCGTGTTTTCCAGTCATATCACAGTTTTCCATTTATATCACTAACAAGGCTTCCACACTTCGTATCAATGAGGGGAATCGAACCCAGAACTTCGATGTGACGCGCAAACGCTTTAACCACTATGCTGTACCACCAGCCCCTTGATGCTTGCCGTAAAAGGCGACTATGCTTGCCGTAAAAGGCGACTATGCTTGCCGTAAAAGGCGATTATGCTTGCCGTAAAAGGCGACTGACGGGATCGGGTGGTCAGGCTCGCTGACTTGGTTGATCAATGTCATCGTATCCCAGTTGCGTGGATCGATGCTCATGATGTCAATCACTGGATTGTCTGGTCCAGACTCGGTTATTTACAGACCGCCGTCATATAGCTGGAATATTGCTGAGTGCAGCATTAAAGCAACAAACAAACAAACAAATTGATAGCATGAGCAACCATAATTTTAGACCAAGCTTAAGATATGCGTTAAAGTGAACATAGTTTTGGTAACTGAAAACAGAGTCTATCTCGTCGCATGTTAGGTTTTGAATAAAGGCGAGAGCCAGATATTGATGAAGTACAGTTTAACATTGACTTCAACATAAATACTTTGAGGTCGTAAAGCATCTGAAACAGTGAGTAGGTACATGAAGTATGTCTCAGCACCAATCAGACGGACTCCAGTCAGGCATCGAAAAATACCATTACCAATACAACACTGATCTTTCAGATTTAAGTTATATTTGAAACATATTTTTCATATACAGTGAAACTTATCATTCAGGACCCCGTTTTTTTCCGGAAACCTCCCGTCCGGTTAAAGGACGTTTCAATATACAACCTATGAGACAATCCCAGCACTACGGGCGAGGCAGTAGAAGGTCCCCGTGGTGTTCTCCAGTAGTCTGGACGGTGTGTCGAACTCTTGGACCTGCCCACTGTCCATGGCCAGGATTCTGAATGTAAAGCAAGGTGATGGAGAACGTATGTAAAGCAAGGTCATGAATAATGTCAGAAAAGCAAGGTCATGAATAATGTCAGTAAAGCAAGGTCATGAATAATGTCAGTAAAGCAAGGTCATGAATAACGCCAGTAAAGCAAGGTCATGAATAACGCCAGCAGAGCAAGGTCATGAACAACGCCAGTAAAGCAAGGTCATGAATAATGTCAGTAAAGCAAGGTCATGAATAACGCCAGTAAAGCAAGGTCATGAATAACGCCAGTAAAGCAAGGTCATGAATAACGCCAGTAAAGCAAGGTCATGAACAACGCCAGTAGAGCAAGGTTATGATCGTCAGTATACAGTCCAATAGTCCGCCTGTTATATGTGACGTTTTCATCTCCTAAATTACCATCCCACTCAAATAATATGAAAACATGTTTTTTGATCCAGTCTTTCGCCCTTGATATGTATCATCCCGCTGAACAAAATGAAGGACTTTTCCCCCGTTTCATGAAACAAAGTCCAACCTATATTCATCGGAGGGAGGAAGAAAGTCTGCCTTAAGTTTGTCTTGTCTTCTAATCATGCCACGTTTTCGTCTTTTAATTTCCAAACGCTGATAAAACAACAATAACAAATATAGGACAGTAACGATGACCATGTAAAGGTCAGGAAATTGTTCAAAAGTTATAACTATCATCAATGGTGTTTATAACCAAAGTTTGTTTTTGTGTTCTAATTTCCTCCGATCAACTGTCGCCTCTAGAGATGAGCATGGGGAACGACAGAAAATAATATGGATCACCTCTGGGGCCCACCATTTAATATTCTAGTGGGTGGGGATTCCAGGATTTTTGTTCAACAGAATATGTTTTGGCCACGGCTTCGAAACACGTGGTTTTATTTTTTGGGACGGAGGAGCTGAAAACAGCATCAATCATGTCCAGTGATACGTATTTTCAAACTTTGTAGAATATATTTCTAAAAAAGAAATATTGTAAGAACTGTCAAGGTGCATGAGTTAAGTTATTACCAATCTTAATGGATCCATAAACTCCAAACGTTCAAATATTTATGTCAGTTAGGTGGTCACTATACAGAACTGACCAAAAGAACGAGTTTCACTACCTGTCGTAGTCCATGACGGTATTAAGTCTGTGCGCTATGGTGAGAATTGTGCAGTGCGGGAACTCTCGTCTGATAGTCTCTTGTATGACGTCATCTGTTGCTATGTCAACAGCAGCTGTAGCCTCGTCCAGTACCAGGATCCTGGTCTTCTTCAGCAACGTCCTCGCCAGGCACAGCAGCTGCCTCTGTCCTACACTGGAGGGTGGAGACAGTCAGTGGGTGAGTGAGGGAGTTTAACGCCGGTTTAAACAATATTCAAACAATGTCCTAGCGGTCGATTAGAAATGAATGGGAAACATGTAAATTACTGTTGAGAAGGGATGTGGACATAAGATGAAGAGATGGACTGATCGATTGATTGATGAGGTGGACTGATCGATTGATTGATGCTGTGGACTGATAAAGCAGACTGTTGAGAAGGGATGTGGACATAAACTGAAGAGATGGACTCAGGTTACCCCGTCTCAGACCCATGGGTCATCTGATTATCCGAATGAGTGAATGGTGTTTTACGCACAGTGAGTAACATTCCAGCATTCAAACAAACCAGTGGTTCACTACGCCAGCAGCGACAACGCCATCGGGATGAACACACTTTAAATCGGGTCTTACTCAACTTACATATTTCAGCTGGGGATCTATTCCGAATGGATTAAATGGGAGCCTTCTCTGTATCAACCAATGTTCGTGTACGCCCGCACAAGGAGACTGAAAAGCATCACCTACCAACAGTTTCCCCTCACCTGAAATTCTGCCCTCCCTCCCCACATTCGGCCAACAGCTGATGCGGCAAAGCTTCCACTATCTGCTTCAGCCTTGTGTGCTCCAGAGCAGTCCAGATCTCAGTGTTAGAAGATTCTCCTTCCGGGTCAAGGTTCATACGAAAACTTCCGGTGAACAACACCGGGTCCTAGTTAATATAGGAATTAATGGCTGGGCATTTGTTTCAGTTATTTGGAAGCCGAAGGGACATTCAGTTCTCAGATGGTCAGTTCTGTCCATGCTAAATACAACGAACTTTCGTGAAGTCGAATTGAATCAAGGTTGACTTTGGAAGGAACTCGAGAGAGCCATAACTGGGAGATAAACAATATGTGTTTTCAGACTTGTGGTTGTTATGGAGTCCTTCATGGTCGGAAATTTTGTTTGGATGCGGATGAATTTCCGCGTGTAAGTGCCGACAAACTGTTGGAATGTATCTAAGGAGATCGCCTCCATTTTCTAGTGGGCAGAGCGGAAGTTCTGTGGTTCGATCCACAGGTGTTAGAGACGTTAAACGATTATACTTGTTGTTAACCTGCTTGATGCTCGGCATTGAGGGATAAAACAAGGACTGCTCGGCTCGAAGTCATTAAAATGTGTTTAAGAGACGGCATGCATGTAGCTATATAAGAGCAATAATCTTGAACGCGACGTTAAACCATCTTTCCGAGGCAAGGGAGTTAACTGACTAAAAGTCGATCGTAGCGCCACTAGTGGCTATTACGAGTTATGTCCCTTCCATGTTCCTACTATTGACCAGTCAGATTCCACCTCTCGTATCACTTGCATTTGTTTCAAAGAAAATGGCGGCGCACAGTCAAGACGATCTGATTGACAATCAAAATCTATATCGTGATAAAACGGGTCTTACTTCGCGAAGTGCATCAAATCAGGTGAGCACCTTCATTAAAAACATAAAAAGGTTTTGTATATTTATGTTGACGCCGAGTTAGCGGTACACACGCTTTGCAAAACCTGCAATCGACCGAAATCTGCAAGGCAGTTTACGAACTGGATGTCGATTATTACGCGATTTGGGTTGGACTATGCATAGACTCGTTATTCCAGTCAATATATAACTCCAGCCTGTTCGGCAAGGGTGGAAACCGGACTTATATAGTCAGTTAACACCCCAGCCTCGGGAAGATGCGTTAAACCCCGTTTCATCTCACCTGTATCTACTATCTAAGGTATGTACTGTTTGTGAATAGTGGATCATTTCAAAGAAATCGGCACCACAAATTCTCTTTCACAGAGAAGGAATAGCGGTATTAACTATTATCAAATACCTGGGGTATTACAGCAATCTTTGACCTCAGTTCGTGAAGTCCAAGTGTTGAAATATCGATGCCATCCACAAAGATAGCGCCCTCTGTTGGTTCGACTAATCGGAAAAGGGAGAGCATCAGTGACGACTTCCCTGCGCCTGTTCTCCCGACGATACCAATCTGATGAAATGATAAATACCTCAACATACCAGAGACTGATGTGGCAATAATTTGTTCAGAAAATACTGGAAAGCCATGAACGTGGTGCTCACAAACCAGTGATCATAAACCAGTGATCATTATCAGGGCAATAAGAATTCGAACCCACGATCATAGAATCATGGCACACGAAAGGGACGCAACTCTGCATTGCAAATTGTGGAGCCTGAGACTTATTATCAAAGAGAGAGTAAGTGGGTATGGTTTTACGCCGCTTTTACCAATATTCCGGCAATATCACGGCGGTGAATACAAGTTATGGGCTTCACACATTTGACCCATGTTGGGAATCAAACCCGGGCCTTTCGTTTCGTTGTGGTGAGCGAACGTTTTAATTACTAGGGTACCCGCCCTTATTATCAAACAAGTAGCGTGGGTTGTTGTTCTAACGTCACCTTCTCGCCCTGTTTGACCTTGAAGCTGACATCCCTCAGTACCAGATCGAGGCCCTCCCTGTATCGGAGGCTGAGCTTCCGGAACTCTATGTCTCCATGTCGAGGCCAGTCGTGAGGTGGAGGTAGACCACGCCTGGTCCACGTGACCTGTATCCATAGGGATATGTAAATTAGACAACAGCTACTTCGCGTGACGTGTAATCACAGATATATGTAACTAGACCACGCCTACTACACGTGGACTGTAACCATAGGCGAATCCAGAGGGGCTGTTCTAATTTTGAGGATTTTGATATTTTGGCCTCCTGCATTTTAAAAATGCTGGATCACGCCCTTGAAAACCAAAGATATAAAGCATATTACGGGGACATGGATAGAGACGCACTTGTTGAAAACTTGGTTAACCAATGCGACCGTCTTCGCGACAGACGACTGTAAATTTGTATATATACCGCTTCAGAACAGTTCAAATCTAAACTACTTAAGCTCAAAATAGGAAACAAAAATTAGTAATCGTCGTGAAACAAGTGAACACTTATCCATATGCTTTGAATCAAATATAAAAGCAACAATTCACAATAAAACGTGTAACTTTCAATATACTAATTCACAGAATCATAACTACAAATTCACTTCTACACAAAATTGGCAGGCGGGATGACCGTTCATGTTTTTTCTGCGAAAATGAACCTGACACGTCCGTCGTGGTACCTCAGTAGGCAGGGAAAGACTGTTATCTATACATCTTTCATTCACTATAATGTCCGCCTCCTTCACCTCAGTAGGCAGGGTAAGACTGTTATCTATACATCTTTCATTCACTATAATGTCCGCCTCCTTCACCTCAGTAGTCAGGGTAAGACTGTTATCTATACATCTTTCATTCACTATAATGTCCGCCTCCTTCACCTCAGTGGGCAGGGTAAGACTGTTATCTATACATCTTTCATTCACTATAATGACAGCCTCCTTCACCTCAGTAGTCAGGGTAAGACTGTTATCTATACATCTTTCATTCACTATAATGACAGCCTCCTTCACCTCAGTAGTCAGGGTAAGACTGTTATCTATACATCTTTCATTCACTATAATGACAGCCTCCTTCACCTCAGTAGTCAGGGTAAGACTGTTATCTATACATCTTTCATTCACTATAATGTCCGCCTCCTTCACCTCAGTAGGCAGGGTAAGACTGTTATCTATACATCTTTCATTCACTATAATGTCCGCCTCCTTCACCTCAGTAGGCAGGGTAAGACTGTTATCTATACATCTTTCATTCACTATAATGACAGCCTCCTTCACCTCAGTAGTCAGGGTAAGACTGTTATCTATACATCTTTCATTCACTATAATGACAGCCTCCTTCACCTCAGTAGTCAGGGTAAGACTGTTATCTATACATCTTTCATTCACTATAATGACAGCCTCCTTCACCTCAGTAGTCAGGGTAAGACTGTTATCTATACATCTTTCATTCACTATAATGTCCGCCTCCTTCACCTCAGTAGTCAGGGTAAGACTGTTATCTATACATCTTTCATTCACTATAATGACAGCCTCCTTCACCTCAGTAGTCAGGGTAAGACTGTTATCTATACATCTTTCATTCACTATAATGACAGCCTCCTTCACCTCAGTAGTCAGGGTAAGACTGTTATCTATACATCTTTCATTCACTATAATGTCCGCCTCCTTCACCTCAGTAGGCAGGGTAAGACTGTTATCTATACATCTTTCATTCACTATAATGTCCGCCTCCTTCACCTCAGTAGGCAGGGTAAGACTGTTATCTATACATCTTTCATTCACTATAATGTCCCCTCCTTCACCTCAGTAGGCAGGGTAAGACTGTTATCTATACATCTTTCATTCACTATAATGTCCGCCTCCTTCACCTCAGTAGGCAGGGTAAGACTGTTATCTATACATCTTTCATTCACTATAATGTCCGCCTCCTTCACCTCAGTAGTCAGGGTAAGACTGTTATCTATACATCTTTCATTCACTATAATGTCCGCCTCCTTCACCTCAGTAGGCAGGGTAAGACTGTTATCTATACATCTTTCATTCACTATAATGTCCGCCTCCTTCACCTCAGTAGGCAGGGTAAGACTGTTATCTATACATCTTTCATTCACTATAATGTCCGCCTCCTTCACCTCAGTAGTCAGGGTAAGACTGTTATCTATACATCTTTCATACACTATAATGACAGCCCCCTTCACCTCAGTGGTCAGGGTAAGACTGTTATCTATACATCTTTCATTCACTATAATGTCCGCCTCCTTCACCTCAGTAGGCAGGGTAAGACTGTTATCTATACATCTTTCATTCACTATAATGACAGCCCCCTTCACCTCAGTGGTCAGGGTAAGACTGTTATCTATACATCTTTCATACACTATAATGACAGCCCCCTTCACCTCAGTAGTCAGGGTAAGACTGTTATCTATACATCTTTCATACACTATAATGACAGCCTCCTTCACCTCAGTAGGCAGGGTAAGACTGTTATCTATACATCTTTCATACACTATAATGACAGCCCCCTTCACCTCAGTAGGCAGGGTAAGACTGTTATCTATACATCTTTCATACACTATAATGACAGCCTCCTTCACCTCAGTAGGCAGGGTAAGACTGTTATCTATACATCTTTCATACACTATAATGACAGCCCCCTTCACCTCAGTAGGCAGGGTAAGACTGTTATCTGTACATCTTCCATTCACTATAATGTCCGCCCCCTTCACCTCAGTAGTCAGGGTAAGACTGTTATCTATACATCTTTCATACACTATAATGACAGCCCCCTTCACCTCAGTAGGCAGGGTAAGACTGTTATCTATACATCTTTCATACACTATAATGACAGCCCCCTTCACCTCAGTAGGCAGGGTAAGACTGTTATCTATACATCTTCCATTCACTATAATGACAGCCTCCTTCACTTCAGTAGGCAGGGTAAGACTGTTATCTATACATCTTTCATACACTATAATGACAGCCCCCTTCACCTCAGTAGGCAGGGTAAGACTGTTATCTATACATCTTCCATTCACTATAATGTCCCCTCCTTCACCTCAGTAGGCAGGGTAAGACTGTTATCTATACATCTTTCATTCACTATAATGTCCGCCTCCTTCACCTCAGTAGGCAGGGTAAGACTGTTATCTATACATCTTTCATACACTATAATGACAGCCTCCTTCACCTCAGTAGTCAGGGTAAGACTGTTATCTATACATCTTTCATACACTATAATGACAGCCCCCTTCACCTCAGTAGGCAGGGTAAGACTGTTATCTATACATCTTTCATACACTATAATGACAGCCCCCTTCACCTCAGAAGGCAGGGTAAGACTGTTATCTATACATCTGTCATACACTATAATGACAGCCTCCTTCACCTCAGTAGTCAGGGTAAGACTGTTATCTATACATCTTTCATACACTATAATGACAGCCCCCTTCACCTCAGTAGGCAGGGTAAGACTGTTATCTATACATCTTTCATTCACTATAATGTCCGCCTCCTTCACCTCAGTAGTCAGGGTAAGACTGTTATCTATACATCTTTCATACACTATAATGACAGCCCCCTTCACCTCAGTAGGCAGGGTAAGACTGTTATCTATACATCTTTCATACACTATAATGACAGCCCCCTTCACCTCAGTGGTCAGGGTAAGACTGTTATCTATACATCTTTCATACACTATAATGACAGCCCCCTTCACCTCAGTAGTCAGGGTAAGACTGTTATCTATACATCTTTCATACACTATAATGACAGCCTCCTTCACCTCAGTAGGCAGGGTAAGACTGTTATCTATACATCTTTCATACACTATAATGACAGCCCCCTTCACCTCAGTAGGCAGGGTAAGACTGTTATCTATACATCTTTCATACACTATAATGACAGCCTCCTTCACCTCAGTAGGCAGGGTAAGACTGTTATCTATACATCTTTCATACACTATAATGACAGCCCCCTTCACCTCAGTAGGCAGGGTAAGACTGTTATCTATACATCTTCCATTCACTATAATGACAGCCTCCTTCACCTCAGTAGGGCTGGTGGTATACTGGAAGATCCTCTCCACGGACACGCTGTTCAGCTCCAGGCGGGTGGTGTTGACGACGAACCAGACCAGTTTACTGCCGAACTGTGGTACGGCAAACCATGCGAGTGAGTGAGTGGGTACGTGCGTGCGCGTGCGCGTGCGTGAGGGACAACATATGAAATCCTAGAAGAGACACAGTCCCTTTGGTTAATTTTAACGTTTTTTTGCTTGTTCTTTGTTTTTTGTAAGGGCGACAATGCGACAACGCGACAATGTTCTTTCTAGGATTTCATACTGAAACAACTAAACCACCCTACAATATTATATGTGTTGAAGATATATATACACGAACTGTATTGGTGGTTGATAAATAAGCTGTTTATCGCATAAAGTGGCGTGGTTATAGCTAAAAAATTCACAAATCATATTCTAACCACACCAGTGGTTGAGATTAACAATCATCGTTAACCTTGTATTTATTACATATTCAAAATGTGTTTGCCTATTGAACTCTCTAGGGTACTTATCATACTACAGATATAACTCCCTGGGTAATCGAGGATGAGCCGTGCCTACCTCGACGGCAAATGAGACAATCAGCCCGACACTTCCCCCAGTGACGACATCTCTTCCAAGACACAGCGTGGCGATGGCGGTTGTCAGGACGACGTTACCGATGAAGTTCAGTCGGACAGTCAACCATCTTGACAAACAAGAATGTTTTGTGAGTGAGTGAGTGAAATGGGTTTACTTCAATTTTAGCCATATTCCATCAATACAACGGCGGGGGACACCAGACATAGGCTTCACACGTTGTATCCATGTGGGGAATTGAATCCGGGTCTTCGGCGTGACGAGCGAACTCTTCAATAACAGTCTCACCCACAACCAGTCTCACCCACCACCAGTCTCACCCACCACCAGTCTTATCCACTACCACAGAATGTTTAATGACGCTCATTATAAACGTGGGTAGGTCGAGTAGCCTAGTGGTTAAAGCGTTCGCTTGTCACGCTGAAGACCCGGGTTCGATTCCCGACATGGGTACAATGTGTGAAGCCCATTTCTGGTGTCCCCCGCCGTGATATTGATGGAATATTGCTAAAAGCGGCGTAAAACCATACTCACTCACTCACTCATTATAAACGTTCCCTTTTCCGTATGTTCCGGGAGTGATTTAAATTGAATTACACGGAAGCCAAAAGTTAGCTTCAGATATGACCTCCCTGTCGCACATTTAGCTGAAGATATTACCTCGCTGTTTCACAGTTAGCTAACGATACGACCTCCCTATTGAACAGTTAGCTGTTGAAATGACCTATCTATTGCACATTTAGCTGAAGATATTACCTCGCTGTTTCACAGTTAGCTAACGATACGACCTCCCTATTGAACAGTTAGCTGTTGAAATGACCTATCTATTGCACATTTAGCTGAAGATATTACCTCCCTGTTTCACAGTTAGCTAACGATACGACCTCCCTATTGAACAGTTAGCTGTTGATATGAACTACCTATTGCACAAGGCGGTGAAGAAAGAGAATTTACAGCTGGAGTCAACCTTGCGGGCGAACGTCTTCCAGAACATGGCCCTAGCTCCGAGAGCCCGGATTACAGGAGTCCCGGATGCTGCCTCGCTGAAGAAACTGATCATGGGAGCCTGGCTTTGAGATGACATTCGCGTTAGCTGCCGTGTAGTGCTGATGTAGCCCCGCTGTTGGAAGAATATTGGACGCAATATGACGACATGGAATACTATGCCACTTAGAAAGTGGTCAAATGTAACAAATGTTTGATTTGGGATAACACTTTCTTAGTGCAATTTACACTTGTCAGGGGGGTGCACAGAGTACGTGATCTGGGCTACCAGTTGTCGGACTTCCATCTTTGTGGAAACCTCGGTGGCTGAGTGGGTTAGATCGCTGACTTTGTGTGCTTGCGATTAGGTGCCTCACTCTGGCAGTGTGGGTTCGAACCCCGGAGAATCTGTACTTTACTAAGAAAGTGCTATCTCAAATATAACATGTAATACATAATTCATTCTCAAAATGAATTTTACTTTTATAATGTTGTTTTTATGTCGGTAAACAATCTGTTTGCAGAACCTGGCCACTGTGCCCCTGGGCGTTTTCACCTTCACTGTCTTCGAGATAGCTAGATTCATCTTTCGGCGCCGCGATGTGTTGTCAAGAATACGTCCTTTAGTTCATGATACGCTAACAGTTGCTTGGAATCCTTGGTCTGTCAATGACTAACACCTGTAAAGTTTGCCACATTAAGCTGACACGCCATGATATATACGGGTTATCACGCGAGTGTGTTTTGGGATGGTTAGTGCCCTGTACTTATACTAAACACTATCTAGTTAGCTCGTCTTGGGTGTGTTTGGGGGATGGTAAATATCCTGTATCAGAGTCCATATACCGGTATATGGTCTCTGCCTGTATTACTAATATATCAGTTGTGTTTATTCCAAATACAGGATATGAACCATCCCCAAACCCACAAACGTGACAACCTTGTTATCATGTAATTGTATTCTTAAATTCTGTCGTCGAAACATGTATTCTCATCGCCCACACACGTACCATGCAAAGATTCCTGGAATGTATGCATTCATATATCTCGTCACAAGGTCAGTGATTAGACCCTACCAGTAGAGGTCTACAAGTACAGATATGGAAACTGATCCCAAAAGCGTCCCCGCAAAATGGACTCGCAATTCATATCTACAATGTTGACTACAATTGTAAAATGTCCCCGTACGATCGCCAGACACTGATTTTCGGTATCTTAGACTTCTTTTGAAAACAATTATCCCAGTAATTTGTCCAGAACCCGATTGTCAATTTTGACACGATCGCAGATAGACAAGGACAACGCCATGTTAGTTTGTCAACCATGCACGTAGTACCTACCTGACCTTTAATATTTACATATTTACCCAATGACCCTCAACGGATACCGTTTTCATTGGTTGATTTTATCATGTCGAGAGACCTACCTGTTATATGATAGAAATCAATACATTTCAAAGCGTTTCTGAGGCTTCGGGGTAGCCTAGTGGTAAAACCTTTCGCTCGTTACACCGAAAGCCCGGGTTCGATTCCCCACATGGGTACAATGTGTGCAGCCCATTTCTGGTGTCCCCCGCCTTGATATTGCTGGAATATTGCTAAAGTCGGCTACAACTATTCTCACTCAAAACGTTTCACAAACATTCCTTTTTATATTACCTGGACAGACATAAACATCAAGAACATGGGAATGATGACACCCAGGACGGACGGCGCGATGTAGCAGATCATGATGAGGCTGCTAACGACGTTGCCCATGCCGTTGAGCCAGCCGTCCATGGTGTTGGTCATGTCGGTGTCTACTGCTCCCAGGTCCCCTGAGAACCTTGACGTAATGCGGCCAATGGGGGTGGAGTCAAAGAAGGACATGGGTGACCGGAGGACGTTCTCCAGAAGCTGGTGATGGAGTGTTCTGGCCGCCGAAATTAACACCCTGCCTTGACAGTAGGTGTACGTCACCATCAGGAGAGCTGGGGAGAGGGAGTGGATGTTACGGTACACCAGTTGCGCCAGAATCGTGTATGGGTCAGGCAAACAAGTGGGTGATAGCATGAGCAACTAAATTTGAAATACGATGACATTTTCTAACCACATCATTTCAGTCGTCTATTAAGGCCGACTTTGTGATTTAATTTATGTGATGGTGGGGGTGGGGTTGGGGATGGGGGAGGAAGTGTAAATGAATTAGTTTGCTCCTCAAAATTGCTTTGATTTTACCAAAAAACCAGCAACAGTAAATCACACACTGGGCATGTTGAGTGAATATGTGATGGGGATACCTATTGAAAACATATTTTGTTTGAAACAGCAATCCCAGCGATAAGACTTCTTACTTATTGCCCGGGGGCGGTCGGGTAGCCTAGTGGTTAAAGCGTTCGCTCGTCACGCCGAAGACCCGGGTTCGATTCCCGACACGGGTACAATGTGTGAAGCCTATTTCTGGTGTCCCCCGCCGTGATATTGCTAGAATATTGCTAAAAGCGGCGTAAAACCATACTCATTCACATATTGCCTGGAAATCTACAATTTCGGAAAATTGATTTTGAAACATGCCCGCCCCATCCCCCGCCCCATCCCCTGCCCCATCCCACCAAGAAACTTTAGGAATTATTATTTCCATCCGGAATAGAATATAACGAACGTCTTTTGCATTGACAACTTTACTTTGCTTTTACAAGGTTGAAACTTAGTATCGATTTTTTAATATTTCAAACCAGATTCCAAATACACACTACAATACCTTGTATAACACCAAGGCCTGCATAGCCAGCGAGGTAGTACCGCGTCGTGGTCCATTTGACAGAGACAGAAGTAGTGGTTTGATTGTAAGTGCCACTGCGAGGGGTCGTGCCCGGGGCGGCGCCTGTGGGTGGGACGGAGGGGCCCCCGAGTGCTGGATCCTCTACCCACCGGGTGAGCCAGATGTTGGCATACATGAAGACAGCGTAGTACCCTCCATACAGCAGCAGCAGTACCAGACAGCGGGCACCCCCCAAGGCTGACAGGAACAGTCGGTACACCCCCAGGCTTACCTGGTACACAAAACTGGAATGTTTGTTTGTTTGTTTGTTCAACGCCGCACTCGGCAATATTCCAGCTAAATGACAGCGAACTGTAAATAATCGAGTACAGACAATCCTGTGAGTGAGTGAGTATGGTTTTTACGCCGTTTTTAGCAATATTTCAGCAATATCACGGCGAAGGACACCAAAAATGGGCTTCACACATTGTACCCATGTGGGGAATCGAGCCCGGGTCGTCGGCGTGACGAGCGAACGCTTTAACCACTAGGCTATCCCCCAGCCCCGACAATCCTGTGATTGATATTATGATCAACAGTCCACGCCGTCGGGTACGATGACACGCTGTCAACCAAGTCACCGAGTCTGACCACCCGATCCATTAAGTCGACTAGCACAGGCGACTAGGGACTGTTTTTAACCCGGAAACCCCATGAATAAGATAATGAATGTTGTTTTATACCACCGTCTGCATTGAAGAATAAAGCCAATTTGGGCCAGGCAAATAAGTGGTTGATAGCATGAGTACCGATCTACGTCATCGGGTCACCATGACATGCAACCAGCCACATTGGAGGTCACAATGACTTGAACCAGCCACATAGCTCTTACGTCACGTTTTGGGGAAACATCGATCATGTGTAACATATTAAACAAGTATTTGTCACAGAGTGACGAAATATCCCCCGCCTGTACACCATAGTACCAAATATGAAGACAATCCAGCGATTAGTTCTTGAGATATTGTGGCAACACCGTTTTCCAACTCCAAAAACAGATTTGCCTGCTGTGACCTTGAAAATGGGGTCAAGGTCACCAAATCTGACAGGTGTATGCGGTGTCTGTATATACACTATAGTTCCAAATATGAAGACAATCCAGCGATTAGTTCTTGAGATATCGCGGCAACACCGTTTTCTAACTCCAAAAGCAGATTTGCCTGCTGTGACCTTGACAATGGGGTCAAGGTCACCCAAACCGACTGGTGTCTGCGGAGTCTGTATATACACCATAGTTCCAAATATGAAGACAATCCAGCGATTAGTTCTTGAGATATCGCGGCAACACCGTTTTCCAACTCTAAAAGCAGATTTGTCTGCTGTGACCTTGAAAATGGGATCAAGGTCACCAAAACCGACTGGTGTCTGCGGAGTCTGTATATACACCATAGTTCCAAATATGAATACAATCCAGTGTTTAGTTCTTGAGATATCGCGGCAACACCGTTTTCCAACTCTAAAAGCAGATTTGTCTGCTGTGACCTTGAAAATGGGATCAAGGTCACCCAAACCGACTGGTGTCTGCGGAGTCTGTATATACACTATAGTTCCAAATATGAAGACAATCCAGTGTTTAGTTCTTGTGATATCGCGGCAACACCGTTTTCCAACTCCAAAAGCAGATATGCCTGCTGTGACCTTGAAAATAGGGTCAAGGTCACCAAAACCGACCGGTGTCTGCGGAGTCTGTATATACACCATAGTTCCAAATATGAAGACAATCCAGTGTTTAGTTCTTGAGATATCGCGGCAACAAACAGGTGGGACGTACGGACGGACGTACGGACGTACGGACGGACGGTCGTGAATACTATATCCCCCGCTTCGCGCTTTCGCGCGGCGGGGGATAATTAATCATTTCAATTATATATATCATTATGTCACACCCCGCCAACTCGCGTGTCCTCTTCAGAGATAATCTTTGATGCTGATGGCAGATCCTTTGTCGACGAATTGCCCTTTTGGCTGTAAAACATAAATATACAAGCTGTGTGTCAATTAAGAGAGTATGTACATTCATCATCTAGGTTTTGTTATAGAACTTCGACACGCCCTTGTAATAAGTGTTATATTGATCAATCTTTGCCACTTTGATTAACATTGTACATTATTCATAATGGACGATGTGACACAAATGTCTGTTTTTAGAAATATTTCACACTGGACCCCAAATGGGGGAACAGACCCCGGGCCTTCGTCAAAGAGAGCAAACGGATAAACCACAGTCCTAGTCCACTGCACATCTCTTATAAAGAAGTTCTTAATGGCACTGACTAGAATTTGTCAAAAATATTTAGTAAAGGATCCACTAAAAGAACAATCTTAACTCTCTGTTTGATCTCTGACCAGGTATTAACAACGACAATTGATGTAGAAAACTATATACCACTGCTGCTAGTTGTGTTCCACCTACCGCCGCCACCACCAAGATTGCTGGGACGTAACCACGGGTGCCTCGAAATAATGTCATACCTTTGTGAACCAGTATTATCAGGAGAGTTTTCCAGATTGAATAGATCTGAAAAATAGTCATCGATATTTTCGATTCATGTTTGATAAATGCGACGGTCTCCATACTGAAACTATAACGAAAATGTACGACCACAACCACATTAAACTTGTTCAGTCAGAAGCCCTGCGCGCCATCCGGGCGCTAAGTGTTCGAACGTCTTTATAGGATATACCAAGGGAGATTACTCCATGCATATGATTCGTACACACTCGCGTCCACTCGGCTTATTCCGCTACAAACGGGATCAACGGAATAGTAATATTGAATGACGTCACTGTACACAGTGTAACGCCAGATACAAACGCCTATAGTTCCCACAACCTGACCGTTAATGAATGACAAGATATAACAGAAATTCGGTAACATGTCACTTAAAGATAGAAATTAGGGAACACTAAATTAAAAGTAAACGAAATAAGTTGAACAGTTTTATAAGGATAACGACTGCCGCCAGGTTGTGTTGTATCATATGATAGTTATGTGCACAAACTAGTACCAGTCCAAATATGGTTTGTGCCAGACAGACGAACAGAGCGAATACGGTCACTGGGAAATGTCTTATAACGGATGATTCCCTTGTAAAAAGTACGCCCGGTCTTTATGACTGCCTTACATTCTTGACTCTACGGTATGCCACTTATGAAACGACCGCCTCCGTGGTCTAGTGGTAGAGCGTCCGCCCGGAGAGCGGAAGGTCCGGGGTTCCATTCCCGGCCGCGTCATATCAAAAGACGTTAAAAGATGGTACTTGTTGTTACCCTGTCTGGCGCTCGGCATTAAGGGGCTAAAACAAGGACTAGTCGGCTCGGAGTCAGTATACTGTGTCTGAGTGGGGCATTCATGTTAAAACTGCGGCATGGTATCTCAGTGGGCTAGCACTATAAATCGGCATGAGCCCGGACTAGTACAAGCAGCCACACACGCGTGCATGCACGTTGCTGTATAAGTGCAATAATCTTGGCGACGTTAAACCAAATTTCACCTCACCTCACTTATGAAACAACTCGCAGTTGTTCTGTATAGATAGTTGGACCACCAGATAGAAAATGTATATGATAGTTTAACATTATTTTGTATTTTTTGGGGTATTCATAATCACCACTGTTTGTGTTGTAATCTGCATCTGACTGGTGTGGCTTCAACATGGCGGTGAATGTACCCTCGTTGACCAGTAACTGGCTGTAGGCGCCCGACTCCACCACTGACCCTTCGCTGACCACCAGTATGTTATCCACGTGAGGCAGCACGGACATGTTGTGGGTGACCAGTAGTCGGGTCTGCAATGTCGACGGTGTTTCTAATGAGTACGAATGTTGTTTAATGCTGCACGCAGCAATATTCCCACTATATCACAGTGACCTGTCATCTGATTGTAAAGTCCGGTTCCAGCCAGTTGCGAACGAGGCTGGAAGTTTCGGGCTCGATCGTAGCGCCATCAGTGGCTATTTCGAGTTATGTCCCTTCTATGTCCCTCCTACTGACCAATCAGATTCAACCTCTCACATCACTTGCATTTGCTTCAAACAAAATTGCGTGGCCCACTCAAGACGATCTGATCAATAATCAAGAACTATATTGTAATAAAGCAGGTCTTACTTCGCGAAGTACGCATCAAATCACGGAGCCACCTTGATTAAAAACATGAAAAGATTTGGAAAATATCTGTTGACACCGAGTTGGTGGCACACATGCTTCACAAATCCTGCAACCGACCGAAATCTGCACGGCAGACGGCAAGGATGGACACTGGACTTTTACAGTCAATTACTCCTTTGCCTGTAGAAGATGGTGTCCTGTTAGCCCGTTTCTGGTGTTCACTGCCATGACATAGCTTGAATATTGATACCCCGAGTAAATGTACAGTAAACTACGGTTATAACGAACTAAAAGGGACCACTCGTTTTAGTTCGTAATAACCGTAGTTCGTTATAAGCATATATACAGCATATATGCAACACATGGCCGGGACTAAAAATAAGTTCGTTACATCGGTCAATTCGTTATAAGCGTGTTCGTTACAAACGTAGTTTACTGTATGCTGAGGTTTAAAAACTACAAAGTTCTAAGATCGGTTTTGATAACCATTGAGCAATGACCTTGTTTTTCAGGAGCCCGTTGTTGCTGATGACGTTCCTGAAGATGTGTCTCACCACGTGGTTGTCCACGGCGCTGAGGGGGTCGTCAAGAAGGAGGACATCGGCATCACTGTAGACAGCTCTGGCTAGAGACACTCTCTGCTTCTGTCCCCCACTCAAGTTGATGCCCTGATTACAACACAGGGAACGTTAAAAGATACAAGGTCGGAAGCAACATTATCTCTTCCTGACAATACGTTACAGAGTCCACTCAGAATCAGAACCTTGCCACCATAGCAATTTATTTGATATATGCCATAGAAAAGGAAAACTGTTTCCAGATTTCAGAAGAGTGAAGGCAATGTTGCCAATCCCCAATAGGCTTTTAAATCACTACCTTGGTAGACTAGTGCTACATGCACGACACCCTCTACCCCAATACTTGAAGCCTCTTTAGGCTTCCGTCAGTCCTGACACCTCAAATCAATCATTATATTTCAAGCTAGTAGGGACACACTTCTTTACGAGAGAGATCACAATAAAAAAACAGGCCTAAATACGCTCTACAGCCTCGTAAGATTGTCCCGTTACTTTAAACCCAAATATATTTAAAAAGTTTATAACAGACATTACTTCTGTTGTACAGATGCATTTGAAACAAAGTCTTGATCACACCGTGATATGATCTTAGTCTGCCAAACTCACCCTCAAACATATATATAAATATATTGTGAGTGAGTGAGTTCGCCGTTTCAGTTTCATCAGGGAGTATCAGTTACATCAGGGAGTATCAGTAACATCAGGGCGTGTTAGTTACATCAGGGCGTATCAGTTATATCAGGGCGTCAGTTACATCAGGGCGTGTCAGTTATATCAGGGCGTGTCAATTATATCAGGACGTCAGTTATATCAGGGTGTGTCAGTTATATCAGGGCGTGTCAGTTACATCAGGGCGCGTCAGTTATATCAGGACGTCAGTTATATCAGGTCGTGTCAGTTATATCCGGGCGTGTCAGTTACATCAGGGCGTGTCAGTTATATCAGGGCGTGTCAGTTATATCAGGACGTCAGTTATATCAGGGCGTGTCAGTTATATCAGGGCGTGTCAGCTACACCAGGGCGTGTCAGTTATATCAGGGCGTGTCAGTTACATCAGGGAGTGTCAGTTACACCAGGACGTCAGTTATATCAGGACGTCAGTTATATCAGGACGTCAGTTATATCAGCATGTCAGTTACACCAGGGCGTGTCAGTTATATCATCGCATGTCAGTTACATCAGGGCGTGTCAGTTATATCAGGGCGTGTCAGTTACATCAGGGCGTGTTAGTTATATCAGGGCGTGTCAGTTACATCAGGGTGTGTCAGTTATATCAGGACGTCAGTTATATCAGGGTGTGTCAGTTATATCAGGACGTCAGTTACACCAGGGTGTGTCAGTTACACCAGGGCGTGTCAGTTGTGTCAGGGCGTGTCAGTTATATCATCGCATGTCAGTTACATCAGGGCGTGTCAGTTACACCAGGGCGTGTACGTTACATCAGGGCGTGTTAGTTATATCAGGGCGTGTCAGTTACATCAGGGCGTGTACGTTACATCAGGGCGTGTCAGTTACATCAGGGCGTGTCAGTTACATTAGGGCGTGTCACTTACATCAGGGCGTGTCAGTTACATCAGGGCGCGTCAGTTACATAAGGGCGTGACAGTTACATCAGGGCGTGTCAGTTACATTAGGGCGTGTCAGTTACATCAGGGCGTGTCAGTTACATCAGGGCGCGTCAGTTACATAAGGGCGTGTCAGTTACGCCAGGGCGTGTACGTTACATCATCGCATGTCAGTTACATCAGGGCGTGTTAGTTATATCAGGGCGTGTCAGTTACATCAGGGTGTGTCAGTTATATCAGGACGTCAGTTATATCAGGGTGTGTCAGTTATATCAGGACATCAGTTACACCAGGGTGTGTCAGTTACACCAGGGCGTGTCAGTTGTGTCAGGGCGTGTCAGTTACATCAGGGCGTGTCAGTTACATCAGGGCGTGTCAGTTATACCAGGGCGTGTCACTTACATCAGGGCGTGTCAGTTACATCAGGGCGCGTCAGTTACATTAGGGCGTGTTAGTTACACCAGGGCGTGTACGTTACATTAGGGCGTGTACGTTATATCAGGGCGTGTCAGTTACATCAGGGCGTGTCAGTTACACCAGGGCGTGTACGTTACACCAGGGCGTGTACGTTACATCAGGGCGTGTCAGTTACACCAGGGCGTGTACGTTACATCAGGGCGTGTCAGTTACATCAGGGCGTGTCAGTTACACCAGGGCGTGTCAGTTACATCAGGGCGTGTCAGTTACATCAGGGCGTGTACGTTACATCAGGGCGTGTCAGTTACATTAGGGCGTGTTAGTTACACCAGGGCGTGTACGTTACATCAGGGCGTGTTAGTTATATCAGGGCGCGTCAGTTACATCAGGGCGTGTCAGTTACACCAGGGCGTGTACGTTACATCAGGGCGTGTTAGTTATATCAGGGCGCGTCAGTTACATCAGGGCGTGTCAGTTACATCAGGGCGTGTTAGTTATATCAGGGCGCGTCAGTTACATCAGGGCGTGTTAGTTACACCAGGGCGTGTACGTTACATCAGGGCGTGTTAGTTATATCAGGGCGCGTCAGTTACACCAGGGCGTGTACGTTACACCAGGGCGTGTCACTTACACCAGGGCGTGTCACTTACACCAGGGCGTGTTAGCTACTTGTGGGAAGACAGTCCGAAGTTCACACGCAGACCAGTTCGCTGTAATCCACGAGCACGGATATGGTGCTTTCAAAGCAGGAGTCATAACCAGGGATTCGAACCCACGATGTCTAACACGTCCTAGCAGCTAACATGACCAATCCCATGATCATGACTTGACTTGGATTGACTGAGCTGGGACCCTGGCATGGATCTGCATAGCCAATTGCGGCTCCACCCAAAAATAATATGATTTAAAGTTCACCTTCTCGCCTATCTCCACCTGGTCTCCCCCCGGGAACTGGGCGAGGTCGGGGGTGAGGGCACACGCTTCCAGTACGTCTTCATACCGCCCCTCCGCCAGCCGCCCCCCGAAGAGGATGTTCCGTTGCAGGGTGTCGTTCTGGATCCAGGCTTGTTGAGGGAGGTACGCTGTGCGGCCCTGGGAGAATACACATGTAGGTAGCTATGGTTACCGTGTCCCCTCATCCTTTCCTCGTTTAATATCAGTTTCCATATGTCACCACTGGGAACTACAGATCGTCCCGTGAGGAAAATCTGCCCTTGTGCGCTGTAGGATTCACAGCGTACATCTACATCTACGCGTGTCTACAGATGCTAACATATTTCTAAGATCTACATACCAATCTCTTCCTTAATTACTTATCTCCAAATTGGCATGCTTTATTCATGAAAAGTCACCTTTGATAAGAATTACAAATTTTCGGGTTTTTGAAAGCAAAATGGCAGCCCCGTAGAAAACACCACCGGATTTTGTTTTCGATATTTTTTATTAATGTATTATTTGTTCTGGGTGCTATACGGCTGACAGTTATAGATGCAACGTTAATATTACCTCACTCACTCATACATATACATGTGTAAGATAACCCATTGAAAGCGAATCGCGTCAGGTCGAAGACGAAGACCACGATTCGATTCCACAGTTTAATGAATGATCACCATGTCCCCTTTTGTGTTTGCCATCTTTGTAACGGAGACATGCAGTACTTGACTCTGGACCAGACAAACCAGTGAATGAAGCCATGAGAAACGACCCACGTCAAACAGCCAAGTCGCCCAGCTTGACTATCCGATCCTCGGTCCTTGCGCCACGACTTCGTTGGACCTGTTTGTTGATATTTGCATCACTATTTTTCTACTCACCTTCACATATACGTGTCCCGCGAGTCTCTCCATCTCGCCGAGTATCGCCGACAGCAGGGACGACTTACCGGCACCAACTGGCCCAACGACAGCCGTCAGACTGCCTCTCGGTATCTCCATGTTTACACTGTAAGTATGTATGATCACAGTGATGTAGTATAACACCAAACACAGTGTATTGAGTTGAACGCCGTCTTACACAGACAACCATGACGTCCCGGATTAACAGGGGAGGTACGTCCAAAGCAACGCATGTCTTCAAAGACTGCGGAAATAGTAAATAATGTCTCGCATGGCTTTAAACAAACAAACTGCAAATACAAAATTCTCGTACCAGCTTTAAATGCATTTTATTAAAAAAATATAAATTAATTTTTGAAACAGGAACTGCTTCCAGCGTTAGCTCGTCAGTCGAAAGACAAGGCATAATGTTTGAAGTCCATTTTGGTGTCTCTCGCCGTAATGTTGCTTGAATATTGCTAAAATATATAGCTATATACCAGCTATATGACCTCAGCTTGCAAATAGTTACTATGGGCAACACATTGAAGTGAGTGAAGGCAGGAGCAACCTACCCACGGCTTCGGGGAAGGATGAAACGCGGTCAACTGAGTCCCCCTTCTATTTTTGTCGCCTCTTACGACAGTTTTCCGGAACCAATTCTATTCCGAAATCCCCACGATCAGCAGATTTTAGGGCCCTGAGAACAAACACGAGATAATTATGACCTATTAATCCCTAGAAATCCCACGGGGGAGGAGGTGTATCTGACAGATGTTACCTTTTGAGAACAAATGCACGTTCATCATCCCAAGTAAAGGCGCCATTTTGAATTTCGACCGCAGAATCTGTAACTAATCAGAACATTCAATAACTAATCATACAATCTGAAACTTATCAATGCTATCAATTTACTAAAATATGAACAGGAATAATTATTATTATATAGATACACAGAAGACACATGTCCAAATATCCCATTGTTTACCAGGGCTGGCGGTTTCCGTCTTGTGGTCGTCTTCAAGGAGGAAGGTTTGGATCCGTCCGAGATGTAGTTTGATCTGAAGGAACAATGCATGACATACACAGCGCATAAACCCTGTACGGTCAGTCTGTCAGCAATATTCCTGCCATATCACGGCGCCCTACAAATAAACGAGTCTTCACCAGGCAAACCAGTGACTGATTGCATGAGCATACTGTTATATCAGAGTTGAAAGACTACTGTGATTATATTCGGCCCTATTACCCATATGTTCGGGCAGACAAATCCAGTGTCATATTTTCACGATATTTGCAAAAGATTTTCATTGATTCTCAGTGCTGCTTGGTCAGTTGAAGCGATATGACGTCACATTGGGGCAGTCGGGTAGCCTAGTGGTGAAAGCGTTCGCTCGTCACGCCAAAGACCCGGGTTCGATTCCCGAGATGGGTACAATGCGTGAAGCCCATTTCTGGTGTCCCCCACGGTGATATTGATGGAATATTGCTAACCGAAACCGAACTCACTCACTCACTCACCCATTGTTTATGATCTAGCACATTAACATCATGACGTCATCTGAACAATAGACTGACGTCTGTGAAGTTTCTCTGTTGGGATGCCATTTCATACGTCTCAGAATTTCAGTGAATAATATTTGGCCCTGGAATTATGGCAGGTCGTGGGTTATTGGAACTGACTTCAATATCATTTAGGTTTATGGAGTTACAATCGGTATTTAGTGATTTCAGTGACATCGTCCAGCGCAATAATGCAACACAAACCTCCTCTATTCTATTATCAGCTCATTAGAAAACTGTAGTCCGTTAGTTGGAGAGACCTAATTTTATTTCGGTCAAAGAAGACATAAACGCAAAAACATATGAAAAATCACGGAATCATTTGCAATTTATATATGCTCTATTCATTTACCTTCAGGAGGAAGAGGAAAACAAGAGACGTCTCGTTCAAGCTGTAGTTGAGGATGTTGAGGTAGGAGATGACGACAAACGCTGTTTGGGCGTCCAGGGCGTCCCCGGTCAGGTACACATAGGCGGCAAACGTCACCACGGAGATCTGTCACAGGTACATCGCAAGTGTATATAACACACGTAGCCGTTATGATGCATGTTCGTATTCTGTTTATCACAATGAGGTAAGGTATCGTAAATCCTTGAACAGTCGACTGCCATGAATAAAGGCCTGGTTCAGATATTGTTTCAAGGAGATACATATTTTCAATCTATCGAGTAAATAAAGGAGATGTTTCATTGTCTTATTGTCCTTGATGTGGATCATGGTACGATTGTATAAATGAATGGCTGCACGTTTTACCAATGAGTGTGGATTGAGAAAGGGCGAGAATTATAGTATTTGTATTTGTATAAATCTGCATGTGAGTTTGGTTTAACTCAGTTTATAACATTATCTCAGTTATATAGAAGAAGAAGTCTTTATTTGTACGAAGGCCACTGGCCCATATACAATACGTACATTTGAAATAGTGTGGTACATGAAAAAAGGTAATGTCAGGTACAAATTTACCGATTTACAGGCTTTTCATAATTACGTCTTCTTTCATAGATGTAATACAGGTATTTACATAGTTTTCCAAGTAATTGTTTACATGAAGATGACAGCAGCGTTTTAAATTTATGCATATTTGGATTATGGCAAAAAGTTGTTGGTAAATACAGTTGTCTAATATCGTTGTAACATTCACATTCTAAAGTAAAATGACATTCATTCTCTATACTTGTTTAACATATGGGGCAGAGTCGTAAACGTAAATCAATATAAGCCCATCTACCTTCGTTTACCTTAAGTCTTAGTAGCCCGGCTCTAAGCCTTATCATAACATTGCGATACTCTATTTCAGTAATAATGGAAAGGTATTTTTCTGGTTTCAGGAGAATTGTAAACTCTTTATACAGGCTGTACCTATATACTGGTGTGTCAGTTTGATATTGGAGGAGGCCCAAAGTGATGCAGGTCTGAGAGGTGAAGCTCGGGCAACACTTCATCACTCGGAACGATTCTTGGATTTGAACCAACGACCTTTGGATTCTGGCACGACAAAGCGACACAAGCGACTCCTGAGGCGAATGTTTTACCAGCGTCACTTAAACTAGACTAGATAGTCTAACGTGAGCTTCAAGGCAATAACTGAATCGAATGTAATATGGAAGTGTGGTGTTACTATATATGGCACGACTGTCCACGAGAAGCTGAAGAGGGCAGTGATGATGTAGAAGCGTCTCAGGACGTCCAGCTCATCCTCCCTCGCCGACATCACCCTCCGCCCGAAACACCCCTCCCATCCATTCAACTTCACCACCTGCAAGGAGAAATCAGACTATGAGCGTTCCATGGGGATTCCGGGGTAGAGTAGTCCCCAGTATCCCATGCTTGTCATGAAGTGGAAGTTTAAAGACTAGAATAATGACGTCGAAATTCCGGGGTAGAGTAGTCCTCAGTACCCCATGCTTGTCATAAAGTGGAAGTTTAAAGACTAGAATAATGACGTCGAAATTCCGGGGTAGAGTTGGTCCCCAGTACCCCATGCTTGTTATCCAACGAGAATCTTGGGACAGATGCATGTCTAGTCGAAAGGATTAAAGGAGCAACATGCTTAGCACTCCCTAGATACCGTTACATCAGAGGACGACTCACCTTGATGCCGTTACATCAGAGGACGACTCACCTTTATGCCGTTACATCAGAGGTCGACTCACATTAATGCCGTTACATCAGAGGTCGACTTACCTTCATGCAGTTACATCAGAGGTCGACTCACATTAATGCCGTTACATCAGAGGTCGACTCACATTAATGCCGTTACATCAGAGGTCGACTCACCTTGATGCCGTTACATCAGAGGACGACTCACCTTGATGCCGTTACATCAGAGGTCGACTCACCTTGATGCCGTTACACCAGAGGACGACTCACCTTGATGCCGTTACATCAGAGGTCGACTCACATTAATGCCGTTACATCAGAGGTCGACTCACCTTCATGCAGTTACATCAGAGGTCGACTCCCATTAATGCTGTTACATCAGAAACCGACTCACATTAATGCCGTTACATCAGAGGTCGACTCACCTTGATGCCGTTACATCAGAGGACGACTCACATTAATGCCGTTACATCAGAGATGACTCACATTAATGCCGTTACATCAGATATCGACTCACATTAATGCCGTTACATCAGAGGTCGACTCACATTAATGCCGTTCGTCAGAGGTCGACTCACATTAATGCCGTTCGTCAGAGGTCGACTCACCTTGATACCGTTACATCAGAGGTCGACTCACCTTGATGTCGTTACATCAGAGGTCGACTCACCTTGATACCGTTGAGGACCTCTGTTAGCAGCTTCATCCTCTTCTCCATCTTCTTCATCCTCTCCTTGTCAACAATCTCCGCTCTCTCCGTCATCAACAGGTTGGTCGGGATGAGCACCAACATCACCGTCAAGGCAAACACCGCCGCCATGCCGAGCAGGTTGAACAGGCGATAAAATATGACCACCGCCAGGAATGGGCTGAGCACGATCGTGCTGAGTTGATCAAAATACGAGCCGGCCTGGCTGGCGTTGACTGACATGAGGGTGGTGAGTTCACCTGAGGAATACTTCTGTCGAGCTTTGTTGGAGATGGAGAGACTCTTTTTAAACACAAAACATAAAACTAATTTTAACAAATAGCTGTAGCTTAAACCGCCAATTGTAAAATCTGCACGGGATTTTTATATTTATATTAACTTAGAACGCAACAAATCCATTAAACTCCGCTGAAGTCAATCCCATAGGTTTTCTTGGCCAGTATTAGGAGGAATCCATTTTGGAATTCGAATCGTTACTGGATCACGTGACGATCACATTACATGACACAATCTGGTTGCAGTCGTGACCCTTACTGAAATGTTGCCATATATCAAATTGTATACCAAATTCCTATCTGTCATGATTTATTTCTTCTCAAAATCGGCCTTCGTGTTGTACGAACTATAAGCGGAGGGATTCGTCAAAGTGCGGTAATCGGTGAAATTATGAAATATCACTACTCCATTGATGACTGAGGTATTAGGTAACGAAAGAAGCCGAGTGGATCCGAATGACCTACCTTCTTGAAGATGGCGGAACACATGGCTGTTCTGACACTGCGACCGAGGCGACTGCAGCTGTGGAAGGAGTGCTCAATGAACAGGCTGAACCCGATCTGGTTCAGGAAGAAGGCCACGATGAGACCCAGACCACGCCCCATCCCCGTGGGCCCCGCGTCAAGGTAGGTGATCAGCTGGCTGGAGTGAGTGCATGAGTCGATGTTATTTTACACCGCAGTCATCAATGTTACAGATATATGCTTGAGTCATGTAAATACCCGCTTCTGGACCAACGCATGAACATCGAGACCCGGGAAAATCCTGGTAAGAATAGGTCTTCAGCATCAAGGCGACTGCGCGACTAACGGGATCGGGTGGTCAGGCTTGCCGACTTGGTTGATGCATGTCATCATATCTCTATTGCGTGGATCGATGCTCATGATGTCAATCATTGGATTGTCTGGTCCAAACTCGATTATTTACAGACCGCCGTCATAGCTGAAATAGTGCTGAGTGCGGCGTTAAACAACAAACAAACAAAATAATTTGAACATCGATCCATGCCGTGCTATACTATCTGAGAGGCCACACATTGTAGCCGCTCGAACCCTATCAGTCAGACTTTACAAGCGCTGGGTTCTGGGGAGCTAATCTACCACGGATGTCCCGGGCTTCCTTTGTGGAACGGGAGGTGGCGCTAAGTGTGTCATAAGTCTGCGGGAGCTACGATCGTCATAACGGTAAGATTGCTTTCTGGAACGGGACCCTAGAGCTGTGTAATGATCAGAAGTGCTAAAAGAAGTGGGATTTGTCTTTGCACTTTTCAACACTCGCATGTTTGGGGTAACAACGCCACAACGCGACTATGTTGGTCGTACAGGCGAGTATGTTCGTCGTAACATGCGACTATGTTGGTCGTAGCATGTGAGTATGTGGGTCGTAAGAAGCGACTATGTTGGTCGTAACATGCGACTATGTTGGTCGTAATAGGCAAGTATGTTAGTCATAACATGCGACTATGTTGGTCATAAGAGGCAAGTGTGTTGGTCGTAACATGCGACTATGTTGGTCGTAGCATGTGAGTATGTGGGTCGTAAGAAGCGACTATGTTGGTCGTAACAGACGACTATGTTGGTCGTAACATGCGACTATGTTGGTCGTAATAGGCAAGTATGTTGGTCATAAGAGGCAAGTATGTTGGTCGTAACATGCGACTATGTTGGTCATAAGAGGCAAGTGTGTTGGTCGTAACATGCGACTATGTTGGTCATAAGAGGCGACTATGTTGGTCGTAACATGCGACTATGTTGGTCATAAGAGGCGACTATGTTGGTCGTAACATGCGACTATGTTGGTCATAAGAGGCAAGTATGTTGGTCGTAACATGCGACTATGTTCGTCGTAACATGCGACTATGTTGGTCATAATAGGCAAGTGTGTTGGTCGTAACATGCGACTATGTTGGTCATAAGAGGCGACTATGTTGGTCGTAACATGCGACTATGTTGGTCATAAGAGGCAAGTATGTTGGTCGTAACATGCGACTATGTTGGTCATAATAGGCTAGTATGTTGGTCGTAACATGCGACTATGTTGGTCATAATAGGCTAGTATGTTGGTCGTAACATGCGACTATGTTGGTCATAATAGGCAAGTGTGTTGGTCGTAACATGCGACTATGTTGGTCATAATAGGCAAGTGTGTTGGTCGTAACATGCGACTATGTTGGTCATAATAGGCTAGTATGTTGGTCGTAACATGCGACTATGTTGGTCATAATAGGCAAGTATGTTGGTCGTAACATGCGACTATGTTGGTCATAATAGGCTAGTACGTTGGTCGTAACATGCGACTATGTTGGTCATAATAGGCAAGTATGTTGGTCGTAACATGCGACTATGTTGGTCATAATAGGCAAGTATGTTGGTCGTAACATGCGACTATGTTGGTCATAAGAGGCAAGTATGTTGGTCGTAATATGAGACTATGTTGGTCTTAAGAGACGACGAAATGGATCGGGTGGTCAGCCTCGCTGACTTGGTATATTTTTCGTCATCATATCCTTACTGCGTTGATCGATGCCCATTATGTCAATCACAGGATTGTTGGGTCCATACTCGAATATATACAGACCGCCGTCATTTTGCTTGAATATTCGCCCAATTCGGCATTAAACAACAAAAACAAACAAATATTTCTAGCAAGCATAAATCGTTTTGTCCCATCATTAATCTAAATTTGTCTTTAATCGTGACAGGAATATCTTTCAATCGCTTGTTAACCAAAATGTTATCGACTTTCAAAATTGAAATGAAATGAATCAATAATATTATTAAGTTTGTGAAACGATTCATGAACAAAGACGTTTTTATCATTTGCACATACCGTAAAATCAGTGGAGCATTCACGGTACATGCGAACTGAATGAGGCGGCAGCTTTGCGCTAGGACCAACATCCCGCTGAATGACCTGACCAGCGCCAGAGCTAGGGAGGGAGAGCGACTGTGTCTGGAAATAAATAGAAATGATGATCAAGTGAGTGGATTTAGACAACACTGCTTGTGACGACTCAGTATTGGAAGGTCTTGGCTCAGGGCCTAGATGTCCATCGCAAACACATGAATGATGCTCACAGATCAAGGATCATAATCGGATCCGGGATTCGAACCCATGATCAGGGGACCGTCCATCGTCAGGACACAGGATCGTGTTGTGAGTCCTTACAGAGAATCATGTTGTGAGTCATTACAGGGGATCATGTTATGAGTCATTACAGGGGATCATGTTGTGAGTCACTACAGAAGATCATGTTGTGAGTCATTACAGGGGATCATGTTGTGAGTTATTACAGAGGATCATGTTGTGAGTCATTACAGGGGATCATGTTATGAGTCATTACAGGGGATCATGTTGTGAGTCACTACAGAAGATCATGTTGTGAGTCATTACAGGGGATCATGTTGTGAGTCATTACAGACAACCATGTAAGGAGTCAGGACACAGGATCATGTTGTGAGTTATTACAGAGGGTCGTGTTGTGAGTCATTACAGGGGATCATGTTATGAGTCATTACAGGGGATCATGTTGTGAGTCACTACAGAAGATCATGTTGTGAGTCATTACAGGGGATCATGTTGTGAGTCATTACAGAGAACCATGTAAGGAGTCAGGACACGGGATCATGTTGTGAGTTATTACAGAGGGTCGTGTTGTGAGTCATTATACGGGATCATGGTGTGAGTCAGGACAGAGGATCATGTTGTGACTCATTACAGAGAATCGTGTTGTGAGTCATTACAGAAGACCATGCTGTGAGTCATTACAGAGAATCATGTTGTGAGTCATTACAGAGGATAATGTTGTGAGTCATTACAGAGGATCATTTTGTGGGTCATTACAGAGAATCATGTTGTGAGTCAGGACACGGGATCATGTTGTGAGTCATTACAGAGGTTCGTGTTGTGAGTCATTAGAGAGGATCGTGTTATGAGTCATTACAGGGGATCATGTTATGAGTTATTACAGGGGATCATGTTGTGAGTAATTTCAGAAGATCATGTTGTGAGTCATTACAGAGGATCATGTCATGAGTCATTACAGGGGATCATGTTGTGAGTCATTACAGAAGATCATGTCGTGAGTCATTACAGGGGATCATGTTGTGAGTCATTACATAGGATCATTTTGTGAGTCATTACAGGGGATCATGTTGTGAGTCATTACAGGGGATAATTTTGTGAGTCATTACAGAGGATCGTGTTATGAGTCATTACAGAGGATCATGTTGTGAGTCATTACAGGGGATCATTTTGTGAGTCATTACAGGGGATCATGTTGTGAGTCATTACAGGGGATCATTTTGTGAGTCATTACAGGGGATCATGTTGTGAGTCATTACAGGGGATCATTTTGTGAGTCATTACACAGGATCATGTTATGAGTCATTACAGAGGATCAGTTTGTGAGTCATTACAGAGAAACATGTTGTGAGTCATTACAGAGGATCATGTTGTGAGTCATTACACGGGATGATGATGTGAGTCATTACAGAGGATCATGGTGTGAGTCATTACAGGGGATCATGTTGTGAGTCATTACAGAGGATCATGTTGTGAGTCATTACAGAGAACCATGTTAGGAGTCAGGACACAGGATCATGTTGTGAGTCATTACAGGGGATCATGTTGTGAGTCATTACAGGGGATCATGTAGTGAGTCATTACAGAGAACCATGTTAGGAGTCAGGACACGGGATCGTGTTGTGAGTCATTACAGAGGGTCGTGTTGTGAGTCATTACAGAGGATCATGTTAGGAGCCATTACAGAGGATCGTGTTGTGAGTCATTACAGAGGATCATGTTGTGAGTCATTACAGGGGATCATGTTGTGAGTCATTACAGAGGATCGTGTTGTGAGTCATTACAGGGGATCATGTTGTGAGTCATTACAGAGGATCGTGTTGTGAGTCATTACAGGGGATCATGTTGTGAGTCATTACACGGGATCATGTTGTGAGTCATTACAGGGGATCATGTTGTGAGTCATTACAGAGAACCATGTTAGGAGTCAGGACACGGGATCGTGTTGTGAGTCATTACAGAGGGTCGTGTTGTGAGTCATTACAGAGGATCATGTTGTGAGTCATTACAGAGGATCGTGTTGTGAGTCATTACAGAGGATCATGTTGTGAGTCATTACAGGGGATCATGTTGTGAGTCATTACAGAGGATCGTGTTGTGAGTCATTACAGGGGATCATGTTGTGAGTCATTACAGAGAACCATGTTAGGAGTCAGGACACGGGATCGTGTTGTGAGTCATTACAGAGGGTCGTGTTGTGAGTCATTACAGAGGATCATGTTAGGAGCCATTACAGAGGATCGTGTTGTGAGTCATTACAGAGGATCATGTTGTGAGTCATTACAGAGAATCATGTTAGGAGCCATTACACGGGATCGTGTTGTGAGTCATTACAGAGGACCGTGTTGTGAGTCATTACAGAAGATCATGTTGTGAGTCATTACAGAAGATCATGTTGTGAGTCATTACAGAAGATCATGTTGTGAGTCATTACAGAGGACCGTGTTGTGAGTCATTACAGAGAACCATGTTAGGAGCCATTACAGAAGATCATGTTGTGAGTCATTACAGAAGATCATGTTGTGAGTCATTACAGAGGATCATGTTGTGAGTCATTACAGGGGATCATGTTGTGAGTCATTACAGAGGATCGTGTTGTGAGTCATTACAGGGAATCATGTTGTGAGTCATTACAGGGGATCATGTTGTGAGTCATTACAGGGGATCATGTTGTGAGTCATTACAGGGGATCACGTTGTGACTCATTACAGAGAACCATGTTAGGAGTCAGGACACGGGATCGTGTTGTGAGTCATTACAGAGGGTCGTGTTGTGAGTCATTACAGAGGATCATGTTAGGAGCCATTACAGAGGATCGTGTTGTGAGTCATTACAAAGGATCATGTTAGGAGCCATTACAGAGGATCGTGTTGTGAGTCATTACAGAGGATCATGTTGTGAGTCATTACAGAGAATCATGTTAGGAGCCATTACACGGGATCGTGTTGTGAGTCATTACAGAGGACCGTGTTGTGAGTCATTACAGAAGATCATGTTGTGAGTCATTACAGAAGATCATGTTGTGAGTCATTACAGAAGATCATGTTGTGAGTCATTACAGGGGACCGTGTTGTGAGTCATTACAGAGAACCATGTTAGGAGTCAGGACACGGGATCATGTCTTGCTTATAAGAATCTTCACCGAAATGTCGCTATCACAGTATGATAAAGAAGCTGTTATCTATAATGTTATTGCTTACTGTGTCATCTATCAACTTCTAAGAAATGCCTATTAAACAATTTAATACAGGATCATGTTATAACACAAGTACATGTATCGTATGTGGGAGCCATCACAGGATGCTAGATGTGCTACGTTGTCATGGCTTTCCCGATGCTAACGCCTAGACTACAATGGGAATCGGGTGGTCAGACTCTGTGACATGGAAGATTGTGTATCATCCTACATCGAGGGACCGCTGCTCATGATTTCAGTCACTGGTTTGCCTGGTGAAGACTCGATTATTTACAGCTAGATAAAGCTGAAATATTGCTAAACGGAACACATGTACATGAATTTGTAAAATTCTCGATTCTAGTTGGTCAATCAGAGGCTTTAAATCACAAATAACCACTGCTGATTAAAACACCGCTGCCTGGTCGGTTCCAAATTCACTTTAGCGTGGTATATAAAACTACAGGTAGCCTAGCTCTGTTATCTCCTGACTCACTCACTATGTAAATCTCTCATTCGTATATTTCTGCAACAATTGATTGATATCCACTGGTGACAAACACTTATGCTCACAAATGATTATCTTTTCTGCCTGAAGATCCAGACACGAAGTAAGTATTTCTTTTGTACTGGTACTCACAGTTAAACATGCAGATATACATTGTGACAAAATATGTAGAATATTTACAAATTACAAGCTGCAAACCCAGTTGTTTTCTTACTTTGTCTCCCTTGCCCATGACTGCTCCACCACTCTGTCGATGTTGTTGCACTGGTCTTCAGCTGCGACGTCGTCAACGTCATCGTCACGTAGCAACTTCTTTTCACCTTTTGTGATAAGTCTGGCAATTGTGGATAAATAAGTTCCCTGGATAACATGTTGGTCTTTAAGTGATTTTGTGTTCCACAGAAAGCAGATATATAGGACTGTGGCTGACACAAACTAGACTACATTGAAGACTACTATTATACCAGAACCTTTTCTCTAAAGTGTAAATTTACATAAGTTTAGAACAGCTCTTTCTCGATTTCGTTGTGGCTCACATGATCTATATTTATTGAAACAGGCAGATATGAAGGTATTGCAAGAAAACCTAGATATTTGTAAAACTGATTGTATTGAAGATGAATATCACTTTTTATGTGTATGTCCAGTGTATAATGATTTAAAAGCAAAATATCTAAATACGTATTTTTACAACCCAAACGGTAACAAATTCTGTAAATTAATGACATGTGATTGTACAGAAACTAATAGAAATTTATCAGTGTTCATTTATCATGCTATGACACTAAGAAAATGTATGAATTTGTAAAACGCCCCAGACAATGTACTATAAGCCTTTGGTCTCATCAGTACCATGAATAAAGTTTGATTGATTGTCTCCCGCTGTTTGAAGGCCACTTAAACGTGAAAGTAAAATCTACTTTTGGTAAAACTCGGAACACACTCACATTAAATATCTATGGCTCTATCCCCGTGCCTACAGAACAGTTCATTATTTTAGCATGGGGAGTTCAAGCGGTAATCTCATCTGTTTGTGCAACACAACGTAATCAGTTGTAGTCGTCATAACGTGCTCTCGTTTGGAATGGTCTGCCCTGTCGAATGTTCTTACGTTGTTTAAACGCGTATCTTCAACCTGATCACATTATCAGTGTAATGAGATTTCCTATACATGTTACAGTCACTGTATGTCGGTATAAAGACTCACCCATTGGCCCATGCAAAGGAGATTCTTGAGAGTGTGGATGAGATGGAGAGAGGTGACGGAGGCTGTGGGATATTCAAGATATCGTTTGGAATCAACACGGGAGTAAACATGATTGTGGCTCAAACGTGAACAAATATGGTAAGACAGATATAACAATCAGTAAAGCGGCGGTAAAATATCAAAAATCACAAATAACTGCCATAGAAGCCGTACCCAGTCTAGAACTATATGTTGTATCAAGTGTCATGGACCTTGTATCCAGTCTAGAGCTATACGTTGTCATAAGGTAATGGAGCCCGTACTCAGTCTGGAACTATACGTTGTCATAAGTGTCATGGAGCCCGTACCCAGTCTGGAACTATACGTTGTCATAAGTGTCATGGAGCCCGTACCCAGTCTGGAACTATACGTTGTCATAAGTGTCATGGATCCCTTACCCTGTCTGGAACTATACGTTGTCATAAGTGTTATGGAGCCCGTACCCAGTCTAGAGCTATACGTTGTCATAAGTGTCATGGAGCCCATACCCAGTCTGGAGCTATTTGTTGTCATAAGTGTCATGGGGCCCGTACCCAGTCTGGAACTATACGTTGTCATAAGTGTCATGGAGCCCGTACCCAGTCTGGAGCTATACGTTGTCATAAGTGTCATGGAGCCCGTACCCAGTCTGGAGCTATACGTTGTCATAAGTGTCATGGAGACCGTACCCAGTCTAGAGCTATACGTTGTCATAAGTGTCATGGAGTCCGTACCCAGTCTGGAGCTATACGTTGTCATAAGTGTCATGGAGCCTGTACCCAGTCTGGAGCTATACGTTGTCATAAGTGTCATGGAGCCCGTACCCAGTCTGGAGCTATACATTGTCATAAGTGTCATGGAGCCCGTACCCAGTCTGGAGCTATACGTTGTCATAAGTGTCATGGAGCCCGTACCCAGTCTGGAGCTGTACGTTGTCATAAGTGTCATGGAGCCCGTACCCAGTCTGGAGCTATACGTTGTCATAAGTGTCATGGAGCCCGTACCCAGTCTGGAGCTGTACGTTGTCATAAGTGTCATGGAGCCCGTACCCAGTCTGGAACTACACGTTGTCATAAGTGTCATGGAGCCCGTACCGAGTCTGGAACTATACGTTGTCACAAGTGTCATGGAGCCCTTACCCTGTCTGGAACTATACGTTGTCATAAGTGTCATGGAGCCCGTACCCAGTCTGGAACTATACGTTGTCATAAGTGTCATGGAGCCCTTACCCAGTCTGGAGCTATACGATGTCATAAGTGTCATGGAGCCCGTACCCAGTCTGCAGCTATACGTTGTCATAAGTGTCATGGAGCCCGTACCCAGTCTGGAGCTATACGTTGTCATAAGTGTCATGGAGCCCGTACCCAGTCTGGAGCTATATACGTTGTCATAAGTGTCATGGAGCCGGTATCCAGTCTGGAGCTATACGTTGTCATAAGTGTCATGGAGCCCGTACCCAGTCTGCAGCTATACGTTGTCATAAGTGTCATGGAGACCGTACCCAGTCTGGAGCTATACGTTGTCATAAGTATCATGGAGCCCGTACCCAGTCTGGAGCTATACGTTGTAGTAGGTGTCATGCGCATAACAGAGATATTGGTATCTTGAAGTGTCCTTATTACTGTCACTGTAATATATACCATAACATCCAGATGTTGAAACCCACAAGCGCGAGCATGGTGCTGGTAAACCTAAAAACATAATGAGGGTGAACCGGGATTCGAACCCACAATCATAGGTTTCTGACGTGCCATAGGGACTTAACTCTCCACAGCGAATCGCAGCTTCCTTGACAACTGAGCCACCCGTGCTCTCCTGCAGTGAAAACTCCTGCAGTGTCGTTAATCTGGACCGAACCGTTCCAAACGCCCGGATGAACACTTCACGGTGCGGAGTCATTTATAGATTCGTAGACCCCTTGTGGATTTTGTACCGTTCCCAACGCAAGTCGCCCAGAAAGCAGGGTTGCCGGAATAACGGGATCCGGACTAGCGAGGTTTCACTGTACAAACGTCGTACTTGCCTGACAGCTCATGTTGTGTGGCGGGCTGTTGGGGTGTAGTCGTTCACGCTGCTGCGATGCTGGGTAAGTGATCGCTTGGTCACTTTCAACTCATTGTGCAATAGCGGCTTCGTTGTAGCGTCTGACTTAACACAAATGACCTGACAAGCCTGATTTGGTCTTATCTTGAACGATAAGGTCACTGGAACGTATTATATTTCTTTAATTTGTCACCGGAATTATCTCCATTTTGAAATATTGGAGGTTTATTCATTAAAAGGTGGGTTAACACAAGGGTGACAACAGTCTGTCGTTATTAAAAACGACGATCGTTTGAGGAAGAGTGTGTTTTATATCGGTTGAAGGGACATAACTCTGGCACCTAGTTTTCTTTGATGCGTTGTTGGTGTTGTGAATGAACTGAATGGTTACCCAAGTTCGAAACCCACGATTAGGCAGTTGACAAAATATTCTTTGACGTTTTTTCGAAACTGTCAAGATAAGGAGGAAAGGTTTTTTGGGTTTTTTTAAAACAAGAAACTAGTAGGTTACGAATCTATAAACCTAAATGTGATTCTAATGTACCAAGTCACCTCGACAATCACTCACTCACAAACCTGGCACGCCAGACAGAGAGGTGAAATCCTCGACCTGATTGTTATTGTGAATCCCGATGCATTTGCATGAACAACATAGTCCCATATCGTTTCAGGGGTAAAGGTAAAGTTGAGCCATGCGTGAATGGCGGGTCGAATACATACGTTACCATCTGTAGCGAACCCCCTGTGAGAGTGACGATCACATTCATCCACTAAAAGGTGACGAGAGGTGACGGTGTGGTTACATTTAGAGTAGCAAGGGGTTACAGTGTGGTTACATTTAGAGTAGCAAGGGGTTACAGTGTGGTTACATTTAGAGTATCTTGGGGTTTCAGTGTGGTTACATCAAGAGTATCGAGGGGTTACATCTAGGGTATCGAGGGGTTACATCAAGAGTATCGAGGGGTTACATCTAGGGTATCGAGAGGTTACATCAAGAGTATCGAGGGGTTACATCTAGGGTATCGAGAGGTTACATCAAGAGTATCGAGGGGTTACATCTAGGGTATCGAGAGGTTACATCAAGAGTATCGAGGGGTTACATCTAGGGTATCGAGGGGTTACATCAAGAGTATCGAGGGGTTACATCTAGGATATCGAGAGGTTAAATCAAGAGTATCGAGAGGTTACATCCAGAGTATAGAGAGGTTACATCTTTGCTGAAACCCCCGAGCACTGGTGTGGTGCTGACAAGCATGGAAACATAATCAGTGATTCTAACCCACAAATCATTGGTTTCTGGTTCTACTACACCAAATCAGAACCAGTTGGGACAGTGCGGTTTTCGTCTTCAGTGCAGATCGAGAGATATCTGCAGGCTGTGATTGGAGGATATTGTGTAAGATTTTTATGTCTTTTAAATGTACATCCATCCAGTTATTAAAACTGACCATGTTTTTCTATATTTATTACTGTCTTTTTCAATATGATGACTTATGCTGAATGTGACCACAGCTATTTTCAAGTAGTTGACATTTGGTGCGAAACTTGGGGTGGTGTGGTTAGCTTCCTGTACTCGGAAAAGGGGCTGGCTAAGCTAGTCATTTTTTTTATTGCTGCTCTAAGGTCAAACTGTGCACACACGTATAGGTAAAAGCTGTTGAATGATTAGTTAATTTTTAAAATATATAACATTACTATGGAAGTCTGTGGGTTGGTTGTGTGTAACCCGTGGGACATCCAAGGTACGCAACCCTGCAGAGAATAAGCCCCCAAGCTCCTCACAGTGAAAGCCCGCTTTCGGACCTCTCTCTACCATCGCTGCCACCAGTAACAGCTGTACTAGGCGGCCTGCAAGAATGGTGCATGGAGTTGAACTCCACCTGAAATTTTAGTGTTTTTAACAGGATCACTCTCTCCCTCATTTTCATCAGTGTCACAGCTGGTTGTTACATCAACATCCTCATCAACAGAACAGTCAACATCATCACAGTCTGTCAAGTAATCTCTCCTTTGAGCTGATGCTCTACACGTGCCCTATTTTCACAAGCCAAATGCTTCATAATTATGCTTACTTTTTATTTTTGTTATATTGTAATAGTCCAAATATTTGTCCAAGTCTGCCACTAAAACATTTTCTTATTTTCCTGAAATCAGTAGTTTCACCCCACTGATGGTGGGTTCTGGGCTAGATGGTGCATCTTGTCCTCTGGACGAGATGGTGTAGATGGTCCTCGGGACTAGATGGTCCTCTGGACTAGATGGTCCTCTGGTCTAGGTGGTGTAGATTGTCCTCTGGACGAGATAGTGTAGATGGTCCTCTGGTCTAGATGGTGTAGATGGTCCTCTGGACTAGATGGTGTAGATTGTCCTCTGGACTAGATGGTCCTCTGGTCTAGGTGGTGTAGATGGTCCGCTGGACGAGATGGTGTAGATGGTTCTCTGGACGAGATGGTGTAGATGGGTCGTCATCACAGTGTTATCATTCGTTTGATTGTCAAACATTGTCAAACCAATGATGTCAATGACAGGCATAGGTTTGGTAGGCCAAGAAAGACCTCTAACAGAGAGGATAGACGTCTTTTCAGGATAGTCAGACGAAATCCATTTGCCACTTCAACAGATTTAAGACTGCAGTGGATTACCCATCAGAGACTCTCGACGATGACCGTAAGGCGTCGCCTCAGAGCGGCTGGTTATAACGCCAGAAGACCAGTAAAACGTCGTCAACTGACTGAGGGGCACCTGCGGAATCGTCTGATATGGTGTCGTGCCCGTAGTCGATGGAACTTGGCCAACTGGAGAAGGATCCATTGGCCTGACTAGTGTCTAATGCTGCTACGAACTGTTGATGGTCGAATACGTGTTTGGAGGCAACGTAACACTCGTTTTGCACCAAGGAACATCCAGAAGACCTTAGCATGTGGCGGGGGGTCTGTCATGATATGGGTTGTGTTTCCTTCGGCTGCAAACTTCCGCTTGTGACAATTCTTGGAAACCTGAATGGCTAACAATACCAAGATGCCGTTCTTCGTCCAGTGGTAGTCCCTCATTTTGACAACCATCCTCTTCAGACAAGACCTGTTTACATGGACGACAATGCTAGACCACACAGATCTCGGGCAGTGTTTGGCTTATTTGCGTCAAGAAGCTATTGCCACTCTTCCTTGGCCGGCCTGTAGTACGGATCTTATTTCGATTGAGCATCTCTGGGACATTCTTGGCCGGACAATCAGACATCATGATCCCCCAGTTCAAAATCGACTTGTAATGAGTATGAGGCGTAGGGTTGAAGCTGTGGTCAATGTCCGTGGATCATACACACGTTACTGACGTTTCTGTCTTGCAATAGACTCTGCACTCCCTAGGGTGTCTATGTGACACCTGATATGGTCTGCTGATATCATGACAGTTACATGACAAAAACAGTTTTTCAATGTTTTCTAATCCTTCAATTTCTGGTCTTCGGTAAAATTCCCTTCTGCTCATATTCTTTTGGAACACAAGATAAACTTGCTTTGGGACAACTTTTGCATCACATGAGGTTTACATATACGGCTTATAACAATCGTACATCTCGTTATAATAGTCATCATTAAGTGCCAAAAGTAACAGCTCACAAATATGGTGGGTGGCGCTTAACTTTTGTGCATGTGTATATTTGAAATGGGTACCGGCGCAGCATACCCAGGGAACCAGGCTGATGTTTTTCCAACTTCTAAATGCCTATCCAAGACTTGTTGTAAGTATGTATAACAAATATTGATGAAGTCCCACCCGAGTACACCAATCTACAACAAGTCTAACCTAACGTAAATCCACTAATTATTGAACGCTCCTTACTTTGCAGCAAGTTCCCAGGTTTAGGTCCCCGGCGCCTAGTATTTTAGGATCATGGTGTAAATAAACTGTCGCTATTGATTGCCACATGTGTTGTGGTATTCTACGAGGGTTAAGTTAGTTAACCCTATCTGGACATTAATTAGAGGTCTTGCGCCTATTTTGGATTAAGTTCATCACAAACGGCCCTTTCTGCAAATGACACCAGTTTGTTACAGATACTTAACTGCCGGGAAACAGAGAGTATACACCCATGTTTGATGGTGCCAAAAATGAAACAAACAAGAAATAATTATTCGATGGTGATGTATTTGATACGGGTATCATAGTTATGTTTTGGACCTTAAGTTCGCAGTGTTTCGGCGAGTGTTTTCAGTTTTCTATAGGCGTCGAAGTGCTCTTGTGTTTTGTAGAGGAAATACGGTTTATGAGATAACGTATATAAAAGAACAAGCTGAACTATCTGGAGGCATGCATTTTCAGTCATATTTTCGGATAACACAAGGGAATTATCTTTCCTCATAAACATTCAGCTTCGACAAAAAACAAAATAATTACTGTCCAAAGAGTCAATTATCGCAGAAGAGCCTGTTGTGAAACAGTCCAGGATCAAGTCCGTTGTTTCATTTGCCCTAGGGTCGGCAAGTTTGCTGTTGGCAATGACACCAGCTCACGTGCACCAAGAAAGAAGGTCAGAAGACGTTGTTGATTAGCGTTTTGTTTTGCATTGTTTTGAATTTAGGGACTTTGAGTCTATGGAAATATTCTGATCGGTAAGAGTAATTAGAATGTGCGTAAATGCCGCCAAATGTCAGTTTATCTTTATAAATTCCGTTCAACCATGATCTTTATGTTATATTTAACATTGACATTTCCCAAAACGTCATACTAATATATACTAACGGGAAAAAAGTAACGGTGCTTCATATACAGTTTAATATATGGATAAGAAAGATCCATTCTTAAATTAAATATTGCATCTTGGGAGTATGATACTTTTAAATGTGAACAGCACACAATGATTGTTTAACTATCAGTTGCTCATAAAAACATGTTTGTTTAACCGTAAATAACGCTAACGCAATGCCACTGATTGCTGAAATTCATGTTGCCAGGCATTCTAATGTTCATCGAAACACAATATCATCTCTTTGGAGTCATTATCTACAGCAGGGCAACACTCATGCCTTGTCACGGGCCGGTCATCCACGTGTGACGTCCCGTCCACAAGAAAACCATATTCGGTTGGTGCATCAACGGAATCGATACCAAACTGACACAGTGACAGCTGGGACAATTCCTGGGTTGAAACCAGTTAGTGGCAGAACCGTACGCATCCGATTGAGGGAGCACAACATCCGGCCCCGTCGTCAGGCGACACGCCCAAGTTTGCTTCCACGTCACCGTCAGGCGCACCTATCGTGGTGTAGACGGCATCTGATGTTCAGAGTACAAGACTGAGACAAGGTCGTCAGTTTGAGGGTGGAAGGTAATGGTATTCGTGGCATCGTAATGGGTGAACACAGCTCACCATTGTTAATGGTAATATAAATGGCGTGCAGCAGGATTATGAGAAACCTCGGGTAGAATATAACCTTGCTACCCTATGGGGATCCCGGGTAGACTATGTCTTCGCTACCAATGGGAATACCGGGTAGAATGTGTCATCGCTACCCTATGGGGATTCCGGGTAGAATATGTCATCGCTATCCTATGGGGATTCCGGGTAGAATATGTCATCGCTACCCTATGGGATCCCGGGTAGAATATGTCATCGCTACCCTATGGGATCCCGGGTAGAATATGTCATCGCTACCCTATGGGATCCCAGATAGAATATGTCATCGCTACCCTATGGGATCCCGGGTAGAATATGTCATCGCTACCAATGGGGATCCCGGGTAGAATATGTCATCGCTACCCTATGGGATCCCGGGTAGAATATGTCATCGCTACCAATGGGGATCCCGGGTAGAATACAGACCGTGCGTGCAGCAGGATTATGAGAAACCTCGGGTAGAATATAACCTTGCTACCCTATGGGGATCCCGGGTAGAATATGTCATCGCTACCAATGGGGATCCCGGGTAGAATACAGACCGTGCGTGCAGCAGGATTATGAGAAACCTCGGGTAGAATATAACCTTGCTACCCTATGGGGATCCCGGGTAGAATATGTCATCGCTACCAATGGGGATCCCGGGTAGAATACAGACCGTGCGTGCAGCAGGATTATGAGAAACCTCGGGTAGAATATAACCTTGCTACCCTATGGGGATCCCGGGTAGAATATGTCATCGCTACCAATGGGGATCCCGGGTAGAATACAGACCGTGCGTGCAGCAGGATTATGAGAAACCTCGGGTAGAATATAACCTTGCTACCCTATGGGGATCCCGGGTAGACTATGTCTTCGCTACCAATGGGAATACCGGGTAGAATGTGTCATCGCTACCCTGTGGGGATTCCGGGTAGAATATGTCATCGCTACCCATGGGGATCCCGGGTAGAATATGTCATCGGTACCCTATGGGGATCCCGGATAGAATATGTCATCGCTACCCTATGGGATCCCGGGTAGAATATGTCATCGCTACCCTATGGGGATCCCGGGTAGAATACAGACCGTGCGTGTCAGACCTCCTGCCGTGTCTATAGTGCTAGCCTGCTGATATACCATGTACACACAGTGTACAGACTTTGACCCGACCAGTCCTTGTATTAACCTAGACAGGGAAACAACAAGTACCATCTTTTAACGTCTTTTTTGGTATGACGCGGCCGGTGATCGAACCACCGACCTCCCGCCCATCAGGCAGACGCTCTATCCTCTAGACCACGGAGCCGGTCCTGAAATCACTTGAAGGTTCAATAAACATATAGCAGCTCTTATAGAATACCTCTTCCAATCTTCAATTGACACACACGACCACAAGGTCATTGACACGCAAAAGTCTCCATAAAATCCTATTTTATCTGTCTAAATCTAAAATTGATTGACATTTAATTCCCATGAAGCTGGTTTTGTACTTTGAAACCATGAGTCATCAAAAAAAAGTTTCTAAATTTGAAATTTCATCTGTTAGATGACTCCATGTCTAACCCCATTTGGGTTCACTACAAATCTGTAATGAGATTGTAGTCGGTCATACATCGAAATACGTCTGAGGCGATACGAAAGGGAGTTGCTGTAGAGCGATATCCTTATATTAGTAATGGCTTCCATTGTGTCATCGTCAGTCGCGGTAATTACTCCCTAGGCGGGCTTCAAACTTCGCGCAAGGGAATTTTAACGAACAACCCACTGTTCTAATACCGCTCAAGCCCATCGTAGTGTCTTAACATCGATTTTTTTGTCCATGGCAGACGAGATTGAGAAACCACGTGACCAAATGTCGTCTGCTTATCTGGCATTTCCAAAATGGCTCCAAGGGAGCGTTCCTCCGGGGCAGCAGTTGGGATCTGTGACAAGGGGGGCTGAGAAAATTCGATAAAGCTCCGGACTAATTTTCTCGGACGTGAAGCCCATGAGAGATGCACGCGCTGCACTTTGGTCATCAGCATAATGTATTCATCCGCGATGACGGAGCGCCACTTGCGCAAGTGACAAAGGATTGGGTGGGCACTGTCAACCGAAGGAAGAAGCAAGGAACTTATTTCACGTTGTCGGCATTTGAGGAGTAAATCTTATCTCGATCTCACCACAATGACCCTTCTTGTGACAGTATTTCTGCTTCTATGCCTGGAGGTGTTTCTCGTCCTCTGTCAGGTAAGTTTTCGATAGTTTTTGACTGACAGCGACTTTTCTTGTTTCACCTGTATATAGAAATGTCACCTATCTATCGACATCCTCACATCACGTGACATGATTCGATGTTAATATCTCAACATCCCGTCAAGCACACGAAAATATTTCATTAACATCTTAAAAATGTTTTTTTTAATTTTTCGCCCTGAGATGTTTAGAGATTAAATCTAAATGTATACATTCCTGTATGTCGCAAATGAAAATGAAATAATCCCATCATCAGTTACATAAAACTATTTTACAGAAGCAGATTAGGAATAAAATGAGAAACAGAATTTTAATTAATTATTTAAACCTGCCTTGCTCATACTGTTGTAAAACAATTTCAATTATTTTAAAATCACACGTCTATATCAGTTAACAATCCTTTAAAGATCGTTGCTTACATTTCTTATCTAGCGTTGGTATTTCATAATACGTTAATCATCCTATTTAACTTCGGCAGAAAATGACTTTATGGTAAAATGCCCAAAATATTTCCAAATGGGTTTTTGTATCATACTAGAAGTATTTGGAGGAGAAAAATAATGAATGAATGAATTGTTCATGTGTGTCAGTGTTAATGTCCTTGTGCCATACATAGTCTTATGTTTTCCCAATAACGCAGTCCAAGCTGAAAATATGAGCACTATGTGTAAACTATGTTACTGTGAGCCGGGAGGTATTACAAGATAATGCTGCCTTAATGGATCGACAGGGTTTTTTTAAAAAAAAGAAGATAAAAAAATGCTCTCGGGTTTAAGAGTTGAAAGTGGTTGACAGAAATGCGTTTAATGCATGGTGTCTTTGTAGTCAAGGCCGATTTACTCAAACCAGATGTACGACGTAATGTGTTTTTAAACATCATATAAGAAGCAGATGGGGTTTTTTACCTTCAGATCAGATGGAAACACTAACCTTGTACCACATATATTTTGTTGTAAAATATTAAAATGTAATTATGTTTTCTGAAATTAATGTTATGAGATACTGTAAAATCAGCAGTTTCGCATCTCATCAAACACAGACAGCGCACAGTTCTCTTGAACAAATACACCATCTTCTCCCAACATCCGCTAAGAACCTGCTCCCAATTGGACCAAAACTGTTGAAATTCTACAACAGAATCTGACATGAAACAAGCGAGGGTATATCTTTTTGCAGGGTGTATCGGTTGGCTATTGGTGCTGTAGTCGTGTAATTTCGTGTTAACATATCCGAGTCATATGGTAGCGAATTCATGGATGACAACTTATTTATTGTGAGGAACACAACCATGCTTAGTATATTCTTGCGCTTCATCATCTCTTCCTTATGTGTATCACTTCTAAATGCCATTCAAAGATTTGATATCCAAGTCATTTTAGTGGGCCCTACCACCCCAACCACCTGCAGTCATTCCTGACGTCAAGTTCCGAGATGTTTCCCCGTTACCTTCGCATAGAAGCCCATCACGTCGCGACACCTATACATTCACTGAACACACCTACTGCTCGTTTAGAGTGTGAATTCCAAAGTAGTGATGTTCACCGCGGTATTTTACTGTCTATAGAAATGCGGAAGAATTGATTCTTGGCGTGACAGTTTGGCCGGAGTGTAATAGCCATTACATTCTCGGGGACAGGCTTACGGAACGTGTAACAAACGAATAACAGCTTGTGATGTGTATTCTGCACCCTACTTCACATCGGGGAGGGGGTGGATGCGGTGTTGGTTGTAGCAACCTGACTGACTCACTCTACGGGGTTGGGCCTGTGGGTCGCTTGCGGGTGGTTGTGTTTGGTACAGCCAGGACCGCTACACCCAAGATCCCTGATCCGATGAAGTGAGGGAGCACTTGTGTGGGTTGTGTGTCGTCATGAGTCATGAGTCGTGTATAGATGTCTTCATCGAGATGTTAGCGGATGTGATCTCCCCGCCTACTGCTGCATAGGAGGCTTTACGCGGGGAAGGATGTATGTGTGTGTGTGTGTGTGTGTGTGTGTGTGTGTGTGTGTGTGTGTGTGTGTGTGTGGTGTCTGTATGTGTTTGTTTGTGTATATGTATGTCTTTCTATGTATGTATGTATGTATGTATGTATGTATGTATGTATGTATGTATATATGTATGTGTTGGTGTTTGATGAGGTTGTGTGTGTGTGTGTGCCCTGGTTGATCGAGGTTGTATTTGCTCTGTGTGTGTGTATCTGTGTGTGTGTGTGTGTGTTGGTGTGTGTGTTGGTGTTTGATGAGGTTGTGTGTGTGTGCCGTGGTTGATTGAGGTTGTATTTGCTCTGTGTGTGTGTATGTGTGTGTGTGTGTATGGTGGTTGCGTGTGTGTGCTGGAGGTGTGTGTGTGTGTGTGTGTGTGTGTGCGTGCGTGCGTGCGTGCGTGCGTGCGTGTGTTAGTGGCTGTGTGGATGTTCCGGGGGTCGAGGTAGATACTAGCAGGGATATTCTGCCGTATGTATGTTGTTTATCTTTATATAATGGGAGTTGGACGATGACGTGAAACTCTAACCGTCAGGACACAGTATATTGGTAACCGACTCCACCCTGCCTGTTCTCACCATGAGCGGCGACCCAGGACCCTATTCCCGATCCACGCATGGGTAACTGAGGTTTATTCTGCCCTGAATTCCCCGCGGTATGGGGCCAGTATTAGGGGTAGTTTCCACAGTCGGCGTAGTTGGTTTCGTTGTAGTACTCGTTGTACACAACATGTCTTTGACAAGCTCAGCGTCATTCCCATTTACGTCTGAAAGCACCAAAGCCATCAACTGTCATATCAAAGATAATGTCTTGAACTTAATATCAAGCATCGCGTCGCCTCTCTGTCCTGGAGCAGTAATGGATTCCATAAAACAACATGCATCGTTTGTGTGATCTTTTGTTTTGGAGTGGCCGTGTGATCTTTTCAAGTGATCGTATTTGATGAGCTGCTGATCAAACCAACCATGTTATTGAACCAAACATACTTTCAGGCTACTTGGAACGGATTTTGTCGTTGACATCAGATGTGATGCTGGTATAAGAAGTCTGTCTTCAACATACGGGCTTCCTGTCTTGCCGGCACCACGTGACCACAAACTGTCGTGTCAGTACAGGGAAACCGACAGTTTCAGCGGACTCGGCACCTGAGGCCTGACTTACGTGTAGCGCCAGGGACCGACTATTATAGTTTTGTATTAGTGTCCTGACAAGATGCGTTTGTGTTAACGCCCCGTCGACGTTCATGTGTAAACTCTGGGACAGACAGACCAGTGGTTGATAAAATGAGCACCGTCCATTCCGTCAGGGTCCGATGACGCACACAGCTAAATCACCGATCCATTTTGTCGCCTTTTACGGCAAGCAAAGGTTGCAGGGACCAATTAAAACCGGGGTCTTCGCGATTCTAAATATTATAATACGAACCATGTCATTCAGATCAGACCCTGTTAAACCGGAACGAATCATCTCTGCGTGAAGGTTTGACAACACCTCAGGTGAAACTCTTATCAGCCAGTCAGCACTCCCGGGACTAGTGACAGAAACATTCAGACCAATATATGTGAATTCTTTATCTTAAAAGGGTACTTAAGCGACCAGTTACGAATGTGAATAATTAAGGCCACGCCATTATGTTGTTGTGTATATATCATACACCCTGTCGTTTCTGAGCGCCATGACATTTACACCCACAAGGGAGTATTGTGGAAGGAATAATTATGTTTTTTTTGTTGTTTTTTTGTTTCGTTTTTGTTTTTGTTGGTGTGTGTGTGTGTGTGTGTGGGGGGGGGGGGGGGGGGGGGGGGGGGGTTGTTGTTAAAGAAATGAAGCCAAATAGTTTTACAAAGATGACATCTGATTGGTCGTTTTAGATAATGCGGTTCCGTGTGCGAAATACGCATAATGTCGGAAGGCGCACGTTAAATTTCCTATAGTAAGTAAGTAAGTAAGTTATGCGGTTCCCTCAGATTCACGTGACACTATCTCCAATGGAGGTGAGTGAGTGAGTGAGTAGTTATTTTTACACCGCTTTAAGCAATATTCCCGCAATATCACGGATGGGGGCAAACCAGAAATGGGTTTCACACATTGTACCCATTTCGGGAATCGAACCCGGGTCTTCTGCGTGACGAGCGAACACTTTAATCACTAGGCTACCCCACCGACCTACGTTGGAGTTTTCGGATCTTCAGCCAGAGAGGTATAGTACCGGAGTAACAGATATGATTGTAAAGAGATTGCAATAAGAACTGACACAAACACGACAATAAGAACTGTCGCTAAACATGGCAGTGTTACGAGGTAAATCTCAAGTTGAAACGCGAAGGTTAAGCCAGGAGTCGATAGGTTCAGAAGTAACCGGTGAAATCAGTAAATACCCACACAAGATCAATGACTAATTAACGAACGCACAGGATAAGGATTACAATAATTAGGCAAAACAATGGGTCAAATATTTGGCAGTAGCATTAATGAATAGGTCTATGTACGCAAGTCAGTGCACTCACGAATATCCAGAACTACAATCAATCAAGTATATTTAGTAATTCAGCCCCCATGGCCCATATTACAGTTAAAAAATAACATAGATTAAATGCACTTTACCGATCTCAATTCAAGTAATTTACATAAATGTAAAATTATCAAACATAGAACATTAATATCACATGAGTTAATGAAATTTGCAAACGTAATTCTATTTTTACAGTATTTCTTTAATAAGGTAAGAAAGGAAGACTCAGTATATTTCTGACATACAAAAAGACTCATTGTATTCATCCTCTTCTAAATGAAGATCACAGTCTTTACTTACAGATTCTGTACGAGGTATACGCATGGGCGGATACAGAGGGGGGGTGCGCCCCCCCCCCCCCCTTTTTTTATTTCGATAAAAATCTTTATTTCTGTATAAATTACCACCAAAGACAATAAATGGATCTTAATTGTGTACCCACCCACCCACCACCCCCCCCCCACCCCACCCCCCCCCACCCCCCCCCCCCCCCCCCCCCC